CAGTTCCTGAATTTAATATTATTATTTAAACAATGATCTGCTATACAAAATCGGCAAAAAGTTAGCAATTTTTATATAAAATTCTCACCGATTTCGAGAGGGTCTCCGTTAGCACCTATCTTCAACAGATATTCCCGTCTAACAGTTCCTGAATTTAATATTATTATTTAAACAATGATCTATTACACAAAATCGGCAAGTGGTTTACGATTTGGTAAATAATTCTTACCGATCCCGTCATGGGATCCGTCACGACAATCGCTGTTCGACGAATGTGACCCACGATGTCCCGAACGCCCTGAAAAATGATCGATCATTTAAAAAATTATTTACATTATTATTTACAATAATTTCCACTCAATAATTATTATTAACAATATAATTATCCGAATAAACCCACCGTGTTTCGAATGCACCGAAGCGATCGCCAAAAACAAAACCGACAAATTAATCAATTTCATACTGAAAAAGTATAAACAATTACTTTTCACTCCAAAAATCAACTGCAATTTCTCCACCGAATGTCCACTATTATATACCTCTCGCGTGTCTATTCTCCGATATTATAAATAATTATAAACAATTGTAACGTGCCTTACAACACGTCTCCCCGAAGAATTTTTGATTATTAATAATTTCTAAAACAATTATTAGATAATAACAAAATTCCGTGATACACATGGAATGGAAAAATGCATGCATCGAAAACAACTTCTATAAACAAGATAATTAAACGCATAATTAAAATTAAACGCATGTCATTAAATTGTTAATTAATCTCGAAAAAATGTTCACGATTCAAAATTAATAATTCGATAATAATCCTACATACTAATAATTCATTAACAATTACAAATTTTTCCTATTTATGAAAAAAATAGCGAGAAACGTTCCCGATTATTATTATTAATAATTATTTATAACAATAATAATAATAATAATATTAATAACATCTCGTCGTTTTGGTCAAAAAAATAATTAAAATGCGGTTTTGCTTTTTTTAATTGGTGAGCAACCGGATAGATAAATAATGCTGTTTTAAACAATTTTAGTAAACAATAGTTTTAATTATTGCAAAATTGTGACGCATGTCGTCGGATTGTTTTGAATTCCTGAGAAAATTCGGGTCAAGTTGCGAAATTTATGTTTTCGCACCGCATACCTGAGAATTTATCATTTCTTATTGATAATTGTCAGTGTTAATTAATATTAATTGTTAATTAATGTCCTGATTTCTCTCGGGGAAATGATTCCCTCGGGAATTATTTGGATTTTTTCGGGTATTTTATGTTCTATTGGTCTGAATTATTTCAGTAATTTGTTGTATTGTTGTTTATGGGGTTTTTAGTCGTTTATTTATTGTTTTTGATTGTTTATTTATACAGGATCGCTGTCATGGGGACGCAGGAGAGACTTGGAGTGAACATTCATGTCGACCAATTGATGGATGGAATTGCGAATAATTGTCCGAATTTGGAGAGACTGGAATTGCGGTGGGACCCCGAAAATTTGCGATTCTCTGATAAGTCCCAAAAGGCTATCGATGTACTCAGGGTCAAGTGCATCAAATTGCGCTGTCTCGTGCTCAGGTTAATTAACAATTAAAACATTCAGACAAATCCTGAACCTTAAGCTTCAAAAATCGATACGAGAATATCTCGAAAGCTACTAGATTTATCAAAAAAAGTCCCAAGATCTTTTTTGTAAAAAATTTAATTTCCCATAAAAAAGTTCCTCATCACTTCCCTCTAAATCCATGAATTCCAAGGATATTCCGGGAAAATCGATACATAAATTGTTGTTAAAAATTGAAATCAGGGAATTTCGGTTTTTGGTTTTTGAAGAATATCTCCAGAGCCACTGGAAATACCGAAATTTTGATAATTATCTTTTTTGTAGAGATCATTGAGAACCACAAAAAAGGTCATTATAAAAATTGGAATTTTTCCAGTGGTTTCGAAGATATTTGCGAAAATTCAGCTGAACGGTCAGTATTGTCGTTTTTTCCGGTGAATTAATGTAGTTAATTAATTGCGGATTAATTAATTACAGTGATGGGAGGTACTACGAGGTTGTTAAAGCGAATTTCGAGCGTGCAGACAGGCTGACAGTCGTCCGTGCTACAACTTGCTGCAGAGTTACAAACTACTACCTGTTGCAGAATTATAAAGACTTGATATTCAATTGACTAATTAGTGAAATGAAAACTTGTCACGTAATTAGAGTTAATTAACCGGATTCTCCAAGAGGCACTCTCAAAACACCTGCCTCTTTGTCAAATCTCTAAGAAAGACAATAAACAAATTATTAATTTCGAAATCTCTCATTATTTCGCAATTCCCATAAACCAAATTCCCCTCCAATTTATTTTGCACTGGTAAATTATTAATTAATTAAAACGCAATTAATGCATGTAAATATGTATTTTCTCGGTGTTGAAAGAAAAAAGTATTACGCAGGCGCAATTTATCGTCCCCCAAGCCTAGGGGATGGTTTATCGTGAAATCACCACAACTTATCGATTATCCGATAATTTATTCATAAAAACACTATGGCAGGTGCACGTACGCTGGTCATACACCTGGAAAACACCCAGCAGTGCACGTCGTGTGATCCGTACGTACACCGCAAAATTACCGGAACAATAATTAATAATTAAATAAATTACGACAGAATGCAGTGAACCGCCAATGTACACCTCTCGTTGTTCCCCGAATATCTCCCGACCTGGGACTCCTAAAATTATGAGTTTGAGTTCATTCGAAAGCCAGAAAATTTTCCTATCAGAACCTACACAGAAGCCCATTTTGCCCCGGTGGTTATTGAGATACAGGCGATGCAAATATCCACTCGTCAAATGATCCACTTCAAATTTTCCTGAACTCCATTATTTTTTTTTCTCACGAACCACCGGGGCAAAATGGATTGTGGTGGGGTTCTGAGATAGGAAATTTCCCTGGCTTTCGAATGAAAGTATTTTCATTGGCCTAAGTGTCACAAGTCCTGAGAAAATCGGGTTTAAGCGATGAAAATGCAATTGTTTGAATTTCGAAAATCGTGATTATTTCGAAATTCGAGGTTTTTACGCGAAAATTTTGTGCAGATGAACGAAACGGAAGACGATTTAACAGAGAAACGGCTAAAGGTCGTCCTGGTCGGAGACTCTGGTGCTGGAAAGGTGAGTAATCATTTTTTAAATGAAAAAAAAAATACAGCAGAAGATACGAACACGCAGTACGGATGTAATAACATGTCAGATCCACTCACGTGTCACTCGCACGTGAATTTGTTTGTTATTACTTTTTTTATCGGTAATAACTTTTTTTTTTAGACCAGCATTGCAGTTAAATTCTGTTATGACGAATTCACCAGGCAATATACACCGACGGCTGGAGTTGACTTTTTTATGAAGAATTTGAGCCTCGGACCCTTTAAAAATGTTACTCTTCATATTTGGGATGTGGGAGGACTTGCACTGAGGGGGGCAATGTTGGACAAGTACTTATACGCCGCTGACGTAATAATTTATCAATTAATAATCAATAAACAAATCGATTTCCAGTTTTTTCCCCATTAGTCTAATTTCTTCGCGATTATCTCTCTTCGTATTCAATTCACAAAAAATCTCACTCAACATTTTCTCCCCAGAATATCACGGCCTGCAAAAAGTTTTCACAACATTTTCCTGTAAAACCATTAATTACTGAGATAATCGCGTAATTAGAAATCCCGATTTCCACGATTTTTCAAAACTTCAAAATGTCGATCTCATTTATTTCGTGATATCTCCTAAACCCATGGATCTATAAAAAAGTGACAGAGAACTTTTTTGTAGATCGGGAAATTGTCGAGAAAAAAGTTGAATAACTTTTTTCGATGAATTCATTAGGTCTGGGGATATTTACGAGTGACGATGGAAAATCTCGGTTGACTGGCGGATTTTCTCGAAATTTGCATTGCAAATTTTATTTTTGCAAGACATTTTTCGTTTCAGTTGATTATTTTCGTTTACGATGTGACAAATTCATCGAGTTTCGACGTTATGGAGGAGTGGATGACGGCGGTAACAGCAATAACTGAGAGAACATTTCGAAAAAGTCCTTTGATTGTAATTGTTGGTAATAAATGCGACATGGAGCATCAGAGAACAGTAAAACGAGAGAGATCTCATCGTTACGCTGCAGAAAAAGGAATTATCTATCACGACATGTCTGCGAGGACTGGAGAATCAGTAAATTAATCATAATACAATAAATATTCACCTCAAAAAATTATTTCGATCATTTTCCTGTAATAATTAACAATTAATCGATCATTCTCTGTAAAAATGAAGAAATAGTTATTAATTTTCCTGGGTTTTAGGTATCATTGTCAATCGCCAATCTCTCTGCCAAAGTATTGGGTGTCCAATTGACAAGAATGGACCAAGAATTTCACAAACCAATCGTAACAGCAGAAATAGGAGACACTGTCGATGTTACAACAATTAAAAAAATTGTAAAACGACAGCCGCACAGAAAATCATATCCGAACAATAATTATCCCACCCTTCCATTATCGAAGTCGAGTGTCTGCTCGTTACAATGAGATAAATCGAAGAGTTATTTTGTAAATGAATTTTAACAATTGAAACACCGGAGATATTTTACTGGCGTCTGACGCCAGAAATTGGAGAATATCTCGAGAGCTAGGGGAGACGGAAAAATTTTTGTTGGAACTTTTTTGTAGCTCTTGAAATTTACAACAGGAAAGGGTTAATAATTATTTTTCTATCTTCGATAGGTTTTGAGATATTTAGTAAGAACTGGTGGAAATTTTGAAATCGGAAATTTCTGCGCTGAATCGATGGAGTTACGCCCTTGATACCTTGAATTTGATACTGATTACTTCGAATAATTGAGACCAGAATACAGAAGTATTAATAAACATGTGAGAATGATAATTGATAAATAAATTACATTTTTCCATGAATTATCTCGATTTTTTCGATTTATTCTATATATTTTTTGTTTTTGTTGATTTTCCATCACAAATTTTTATTCAATTGTTGTCATTAGATCGTGGATTATAAATTATAATACATTATTTATTCTCAAAATTAATTTGATATGCAGCAATGGCGTCTGAAGGGAGAAATAATTTTGCAATTACAAAATTATGACTTTCTCTTTTCGAATTGACATTATCATTTAATTATTTCATCATGGTAAAAATAATCAGTAATTAGCCGAGGTAATTACAAAATCTGGAATTTTCTGACGGAAGATCATGTTTCCTAATAAATCTAATTCTCGATTAATTATCTATTTGTACATAATTACAGTGACATCTCCCATAAATCGAAAAAAAATCTTAAACCTCGAACTAGTAATTCCAGAATAACAATCATTAATTAACATATGAATAATCTCTCAACTGTGCGATTACGAAAGCTCCAGAGTAATTGGAAGACTCTGAAATAATTTTTTTCATATATTGCAAACAACAAATGCAACCGAAAAAAATTCAACAAACTAAATAAAATATTAAACAATTACTGAGGACAAAGGATTACTGGAATTCTCCCCGATTATAATTGTTCTAATTAAAACAAAAAAATCACTTCATCAGATATTAACCTGCGACTTCTGAAGAAAAAAGACTGATAAAAAACGTTGGAATTCTCCAGAGAATTTCCAAAAATTCAGAGTTCAGATTTCAAGGGTCTCCTGGGCCAGCTGGACCTCTCGAGGAGCCTCTCCTTGGCCTCCCACAATCTGGTCACCTTCTCATTCAAAGGTACAACAAAAGTCTCAATCCACTCAGTAAAAGTGAATTCATCATAAACCCCCTCCATAGCCCTCTTCATCTCCCCCTCGATATAAACGAGTTCCATCTTGAATCTATCCAAGTCCACGACAGCCTGCTCGACATAACTAGGATTAGAGAAGACATGCCTGATATTATAATCCTTGAGCCAGCCCTTGAAGGTGTTCTCCTCCTCCATCCTCTGGATCTCCTGATTAATTCCAAATAATCTTAGAATCACAGTGTAAACCTCTACCCCTGGGAATCTGCACTTGGTCCAGTCGTAGTTTGGCTCAGGAATGGTCAGGGATACGGTGCCATCGCACTGGAGGGCGCGTGTCACGTCCGCAGGTGCCTCCCCGAAGAAGTCATTGAGACTTTTCGATTGTAGAACAGCGAGATTGACTGCTAGTGAGGGCAAAGCACTCGCCAGGAGTTCACAGAGAACGCTGAAGTGATCATACCTCTGCCATCCTGTCAGGATCACTCCCTTGAAGCTGATCCGGTCAGACCAGTGCTCCATTATCTCCAGCCACCGCTGGTGGTTCTCCAGGTGATGACTAATATCCGTCCAATACCTGGGGAATTCAATTTTATTTATCTTTTCCATTTAATCCATAAAAAAAGGGGGGAATACCTGTCGGGTTCAGTGGCTCCTTTGAAGGCAGTGGCGACCCACACACTCTTCCAGATCTTGCTGTAGCCCTCCCACTGGATATCAAGAGCAGCAGCTGGATTTCTGGTGTATTTCCAAACAACAGGTTCGACAGCCTTATGAAGACCAGTCTCCATGATCTCCGATGGGCTGATCCCCCTGAACTGATCATCCCACATGAGGATCTTCACGTGGGGATAGTTCTTCCTGATGTACCTCGTGATCTTCTGAACGTGAGAGAGAAAAAGCTGTCGCTTTGTCCACTGGTGCTTGGATATCTCGTCGATGCACCTGGAGCACTCGCCGATGTGGTACACCTCATCAGCCCCGATATGGAGATATTTAATCCCAGGATGATGCTGAATTATCTGATCAATCATCTGCTGGAGGAGGGGAAGGGTCTGGGGATTGGTGGGACATATCACCTGGGGATAACGTGACACCTCTCTGAGATCCTTGAAGTACTCTAGCTTCAGGAGAAACTCGAGGTGACCGAATGTCTGGATCAGGGGAATCACCATGAGATTATTATCACCGGCTGATTCCTGGATTCTGTCGATGTCCTGGAGACTGTAGGCATTCGTGGCTGTCACGTTCTGCAGGGAATCTCCGTAGGGAAACATGTCCTCGTACTCCAGGAGTACACCAGTTGCTCCCAGGGTCTTGAATAGCTTGAAGAGGTGGTGGTAGTACTCCAGGACTGGAGGGGCACCTTTCAGGTCGAGGTGAACTATTTTGTGGCCAGTGAAGAGGGGAGTCGAATGGGACCTGGGGATCTGTCGATCCTGGGTACGATACGAGGGAGCTGCTGTCTCGGATGTCAGACTGTCCTGATGACTCTGGGGATTTTGGGTTGACGGGGCTGTCATGCAGGTTGACAGCATGTGGTAGATCAACGCCAAGAGGGTCAGGGCTGTAATCAGGATCAGCGTAAGCAGGGTTCTACCCCGGAGGCCAAACATCTTCAGGGAGTCTCATTACATCATTTCAGGAATTATCGAGCCGTCAGGGCTCGACGGGTGATGACATTTCTGCAATCATTCATTCAATTTCTCAATCCAAAAATTAATCACCAATGATTAATCAACGAATTAATTACCAAACACCTGTAATTTATTATTATTGTTGATAGAGCTGGGAATTTTTGGAAACAATTAATTTGTTTATTTTTTAAACAATTTAATGGGTGTCATTGAAAGCTGAAATTCAAACCTGAAATTTTGGGAGTGGATTAATTATTATTTACCTCGGCATTTGGGAATGGAGCAACAATTGATGCTGTTGATAATTAATTTGTTGACACAATTGGATTATTCTGGGGAATAATTGGCGAATACGATTCAACGATTTCTCGATGAAAATTGGAGTTTATTTCTCACGAGGGATTTTTATTGATTTCACTCTCTCGGAGATGGAGAAATAAATAAATGGAGGTAGACATTTGCACTTATCTCCAATGTTTGTACATATGTACGTTATGTAAGAATGTTTATTGAATCGCCATCTAGCGATGAATACATGAAAGATTTTGGCATGCGAAATTCCCCCCAACATTTGAAAAAAAAATTAAACTTAAAAAAAATTTCATAAAGACTATAAATCTCTGGATTAATTGTTTATTATTATTATTTATCTATTCGATAATCGAATTTCTATAAAATATTTTGCGGGAGTTAAAAAAAAATTACACTTCCCATTTTTCGATAATTAATTTTTTACTCACCTCCAGCTGTTAATTGTCCATTAAAAAAATGATTGAACTCATCCGTAAGTTGAATATTTCCACAAATAAAACAATTAATTTCACTGTTTTTATTTATCTTCTGTACAGCGGATTTCTCAGCGGAATGAACGTAACTAAATTTTCCTCTCGTATTTTCTTTTTGTCACGCTATTTATACAACTAATTGTAGATGTTAAAAATATATTATAATACGTTGAAACAATTGTTCAGATCGTTAGTCCTCTTTTTGCACCTCATTAGTGTACCCCATCTGTATCGATTTATTAATCAATTGTTAATTGATCATCGGAGGACTGCTCGTTAACAAACTTATTCGGCCATTTATTATCGATTTTTTTTTTAAATACCTGAAAGCGTATTGATTACGTGAGTCGTTATGAGGGAAAATTTTCACCAAAGGAATTAATTGATCAGATATTATTCCACTGGTGAAAATTTTCGATGATAAAATAATGGCGTTTTCTATTAATAGTCATGTGAGGCAATAATCAGCTGTTTATTTAATTAGAAATCTAATCCTATTAATTAATCAATTCATTAGATTTAGAATGGAACTGGAAAAATTATTCGAGTCAGATACAATAACGTCATTATCTCCGCAACAATTGGGCGAACGTAAAAATGTCAGAAGAGATTTTTTCAAGAGATTTTCATTCCCCGCTAAAAAGATTCAGTGAATTTTTGCCGTATGTCCACTCATTCCCGAGATAATGCCACAATGAAAAAGTATGATTCAGTGTAAATCACTCGACCTTATGTTAATTAAAAAGAAAAATATCATAAATAAATAAAAATGTGAGCAAGCAGTTCACTCATTCGTCAAATCAACACCTATTAACCTGCCCTCAACATGTCACCTATTTAATGTTTAATTACGAATTGTAAGAAATTCTTAATAACTCGTTTTGTTTATTATTCTCATAATATTTTGTGTTTTTTTTTTTCATTTGAAAAACGATCCCACGTACACTTTCGGTGGCCAGTGGGAGCACAGCTCCGAATAAATCCTTATTATGCATTTTACTCTCTATTTATTAATTATTGTTATCAATATGTTATTATTAATTATTTATAAGTATTCATGGATATTTTGGTACAGTTAGTTGTCATTAATCTTCTGAATTCAAATCTGACTCGATTTATTTATCGAAATAAAAATGAATTGTTGTTCGGAGACTCCACCTCAATTACCGCCCCCACCTAGTGAATTTACCGATAATTCATCGTGTACCTGATTTTTGTACGTGCTGAATGTGTCAATGTAATTCATGAATTCTTCGTCAATTTTTAAAATGGTTTTTCTTGTATTTATTTCACGTATCATTCAATATTACTATATTTTATAATATATTGTATTATATATATTTATATATATTCATTTTTTATTTATATATTTACCTAATTTATTATGTTCTTGTTATAGTTAATCATTATTTATCATTAATACGAATATATGATACATTTCAAACAACGCTTCGTGCCCCAAAAAAGGAGGTGAAGATCATTTATTCATTAATTATCATTTTACTTTAATCATACAAATGAAATAATGGAGATTTGTTAATTAATTCTGTCGACGACTGGCGAAACGTGAATTTTCCATTTTTATTTCGCAATTACGAATTGTCTTGGCGATGAGTGGATCCACGAGAAAAATTCATTCTCGCGGAAAATTTATATTTTCTAGAAAAACATTTCACTCAGGATTATTTTCCTAAATCCACTCACAACCGAGACATTTCCTCCAGGAAAAAAAAAAAATTGCAAACAAACAATTCACGTTTCATCCAAATTATTAATGACAATTACCTAAATACAAAGTGCAGATACATTACATCAATGAAAATCCCTCGCTATTATTTTTTTCATGTCAATTTATTATTATTATTTTTTTTTTGGTAATAAAAAATGATTACACCCCCAATACTATTTCACTTTTCAACGATTTAGATTAAACTCATGCACACAAATATTTCACTAAATCTCTATTTCCTCTAATTACGTTATTATTTATTCTCTGATCATCACCTCCATCGTTTGGACATGACAGCCTTAATTAAGGGACATTCTCATTTTTACGTGCTGACACTGAGTACACCATACAAATGAAATTCATTCAAATTCAATGAATCGACGATATAATCATTACGATAATTGAAACAACGAATTTACTCCCTTTAAACCATAGAAATTGTACAGTAAAATAAGTCCTGACTTCTTCATTCGAATTATTTCCTGTCCCATTGAATTTTTTTATATTCCCGGGAGTAATTTATTCTCCATGTCAACAGTTCTGTCAATAGATTTTGTGATATTGCTGCAGCTTTCATCACTCTCCCCTCACTCGGGCTTTTGACTCTCAACTAACAAGAGGATTTTTTATTTGGGGAAATTTATGATTATCTGTTACTTTACGTCAATAATGCCAGTGGACACGATGTAGATTTTTCATTTAATGTTTTCTTCTGGTTCCTTTCACTAACAACGATTATTTGCATTTAACTTTTTGCGGTTGCGTATGTTGTTTCGAGGACAAATCGACGTAAACTAGGGGCTAACAATTGGGCAGCATGGTAGTGAGGATCCACCTGAAACCAAATAAATAAAATAAAACATTCCCCGAGATGAAGCCAAATAATTACTCAACCAAAAACGACAATTCTCGAATTTCCAATGATTAAAATTCGTAAATACGCCTCTAAAAATAGCAATTAATAAACAATATGACCCGCGATAGATGAGAAAGTCCCGGTGGATTTTAAAGAATTAACGAGGAGTGAAGGAGTGAACTCTGGGCTGTACCAGAGGGTTATGCACTATTTAGAGATCCATTGGAGCATAAAATTCTCTAAGCGTGCCCTAAAAACTCCCATAATTTTTAAAATTCAAACCCATGAAGAGTTGAAATTCATTTGAAATTGAGAATTCAATGAATAATTGATTATTACCAGCTCAGGGGCGGGCTCGTGTCGCAGGTGCAGTGATGGCAGGAACTGGAGTATTGGTTGTTGCCATGAGGACACTACTTCGTTCAACTTCCAATTCTTTCAGTTTCTTCCACAATTCCTCCCTCTCCTTGTCACGTTTTTTCTCTCTGAAACAACAAAGCCAACACCATTTTAATAATTTTAAAAATTGTTTACCATTATTTATCCTCCCGTGGAAATATTTAATCTGATTTTTTTACTTTTGCCTCTCTGACTTGTAGCTGGCAGTTAATTCGTCAAAGAGCTTGCTGTTCATCTCCATAAAAGTTTTCAGTACGTTATAAACAAGAGCAACAATCGTCTGATTCCAGTGCTCTTTACTGATTTTGTACAATGCTGGAAACATTATTCCCATTATCACGTGATTATTCTCCTCAATCAGTGACATTATATACTCATTGTTCCAGAAATAAAGTGCTCTCTCTGCCACCTGAATAAAAATGAGAAATTCAATTATTCAATGAATTTCAAAAGAATATCAATTTATTTATTCGCACTCTAGTAATTATTTTTTTAATACCACGAATATTTTTCCCTTTTGTTTCACCACAATCATCCCCTCTATTTTATCTATTTTATTTATACTCTATAAACATTTGAACATTTAAAAAAAAAAACTCAAAATATTTTCGAATAATTAATTGAATAATCAATTGAAAAATTGTGATTGTGTAATGGGTTAATAAATATTCGTTTAGATTTAATTTTCGTAATTAATAATTGTTATAAATAAATTACCTGAAAATGTGGTGATGAGACACAGCGTGCTATTTGCCTGAAGAGTGGTTCCTGTATTTTAACAAATTGGCTAGGTTCTATAACATCGAGAATCTCTTCAATTTCACCAAGAAACATGACCTCCTTCTGGCTACATGTTTTAGGCCAGAATTTGAGGAGACCCCTCACCACTGGTTCCGTTAACGTTGCATCCTTCTCCAGAAATTGCACCCCGCAGTACGCTAACTGTGCATGGTACAGAGCCAAACACTTCACCTTATGCAGTGGCAGCAGCACCTGAATGCCAACATAATCATTACACCGTAATTCAAAAACCAATCATGCATCATACGTAATTGTGCAATTATCTCCGTAACAAATAACTCCAGAGAAAAATGTCACGAGACATTTTTTCTGGAGAATAAAATTCCCTTCGAAATTGTTTATTGACATTTTTTTGTAAATCCACTCTTTATCGAGGATTTTGTCAATTTTACATTGGCATAAATTCCCAGTAAACAACAGAATATTTTTAATTCCCCTGTGGTACTTTGGAGCACCTGTTAATTCGGTTTACGACTCCCTAACGCAATTTATTATGTCCGGGATTCCGCAAAAATGCTGGTAATGTACCTTGACTAAGAATTGCTTGTGTTCGACCTTCAGGGGTAGTGCGAAACCATTGATAATGCTCCCCAGAATTTCCAGCAGTTCTCCAACTCCATTGAAATGTTCTGTTTCGTACACAAACCTGAGGAAAAAAAATAATCCCTCACAATAACAACTCAGACTTTCAAAAATTGCTGATTAATCGACTAAAAATAAAAAATAATAATCATTACCTGAGGAAGATGTTGTTTATCTGTTTGCGTATAAATGCCCGAAGGCCGAGGAATTTTCCATAGATGCGATGTAAAACCGTCTTCAGGAAATCCCTCTCCCTGGGGTCTTCAGAGTCAAACAAATCTAAGAGCTGTGAAATAAAAAATCGAATTTTCCATTAAAAATCATTCAACAATCCACCAATTGACGTAAATAATGTAAATATAATATCAATAATTGCTGATGAATATTAATTTACCTGTAGAACAAATTTTTGGTCAATAACTTTTTTTCCAATTGTCGGTTGAAAGTCAGACGACTCGAGGAAACGTAAAAAGAATTCGTAGACCAATTGTAGATGTGGCCAGCTAACTTCTAATGTTGGATCGTCCTCCTCTGGATCGAAATCGGGATTATCACTCGGTGGCAATGTACGAAATAAATTAGCTGATATCATCTTGATAATTTCCGGGTAAACTGGTTCAGTGAGAACACCTCTGCCAGCTGTGATGTATTCAACGACTTCATTGAGAGTTCCACGTTTGATCTCTTTTCCTTTGAGATCAGTCATTGGATCCAAGAAGTCAAATCCCACGCAGCACTGCTGCAACTTTCTGATGAAGAGATCCTCTTGTTCGGATGGTGTGACATCTGAAAAATACATTTTATCCGATCAAATCAATTCTTCGAATTGTTCCATCAAATCATTTTCCAAATATCTCCAGAACGGATGGATTCAGAGGAAAATGTCAGAGGACAATCTCATGAAGAATTTCATGGGCTACAAAAAAGCTTCTCTCGAAATTTCTGACAATCCACGTCTTTCCGAGATAATCATCACAAAAAAAAAAATGATCAATTACAGAAATCTCAGGAGTTGGAAAATTTTCAATTTTCAATTCCCGAAATATCTCGGAAACGGGGGGAGATAGAGAAAAAATTTGTATCACATTTTTTGGAGGAAAAGGAATTTTGAAGAGAAAAGGTTAACGACATTTTTTTGTAAAGTCACTTCCGGTGGAGATATCCCGTAATTTATGGGGATAATTATCATTAGCGAGAATTAATCGAATCAATCAATGAAATTTGATAAATCAATTCAGACCTGGGGGTGGGGAATAATAAACAAAATAGCTCTGGAATAAATCTCGCCCCATTACATAAGAAATACTTTGAAAGGTCTTGGCGTTGAACGCGCGTCACAATCATGAGTGCGAAGAGACAATTTAAAAATTCATCCAAAGGGGTGAGGAGAAGGCAAAACGACGAGGAAAAAAAAAACGATGATAACACGTGTAAACATGTGATCTCTATATATACAACAGAAATATCATTATTTCAGTGCTGACAAGGTTTCATTGCTGTGATATACTGTGACGCGTTGTTATAATAAAAAAAGATAATATTTACACTTTCTTGACGGGAGAGAAAATAAAATGAGACTCCTCCGTTATCTGTCAGTCAATCAACTCCAGTAATTGATTAAATCCTGAATTTTTTGGGGTTGTGCAAGCGAGAGGAAATCAATACGCGGATCAATGAAAATCGAAACAATTGCAAAAGAAAATTCAATCCCTGAAATTCATAAATTAATAAAAAGAATTGAATTTTCTCATGAATTTTCTCATGAAAGTTGGAAAAATAAATAAATAGGAGAATGAGGTAGATTAAAAATGGGAATAAAAAGAGATTGCAAATCTGAACTTCCGGTGAATGTGGAATATGTTGGATATGTTGGATATGTTGGAGGTATTGGTGATGTTGATGGCTGAGTTGGACGTAGGTGGGATTGGCAATGGATGAAGTGGGGTCACCAGGACAGACCAGTTATTTCGGTCCATTCGTCTCCACCGAGATTGTCCTTTGAGTGTTATTTCCCTCAGTCGAGTGTTAACTAATCTATTACCGTAACTAACACGTGAACCGGGGAATTACCAAATAACAATGTCACATGTGGCGTACGTGAATTTCCTGTTATTCCACCATTGATTTTTTTTTCGAATTGATTTTATTGGCGTCTATCAATTCAATGAATTATCTACCTGTGGAGAACACCAGTGGAATTAAATGGATGAGAGATCAGGCGAATGTCAAAGTCAATTGTCAAATTGTTTCGATCAAGCGAGAATTTCTGAGAATTTCTGTAAATCTGTCGGTCATTTTTCTGAAGCAATTAGAACTTAATTAAAAATCCCAATTAATCAGAACGTTTTATTCAATTAAATCTGTCCTTGAGGCTTCAAAATATTCGGGGATTAAATAATTTCGATTTTTAAAAAATCGATTTCAAGTGGAGGAAAATGGGTTTTATTGTTTTTTGTTTTATTGTTTAAAGTTTATGAAAAATGAATTTTCCTGAATGGGTGAGGTGAATAAGAGGATGGGGGCTGGACAATTTATTATTGAAAATTCAAGTGAACGGACGAGGAAGTGGGGAGTTACAGGGGAATTGCGATTTAACCAAAAATCGAATCACTGGGAGGTGAGGAATAAACTTGAGGGGAAGCAAATGAACCGTGGAAACGCGATTTCCGGTTCACTAGAGTGGTTGACAGACTTTTTTGCTCGATTACTCGAAGAAATCTCTAGTTAAACAAATCCTCTGATTCCAAAGATCATAAAAAAAAAATCGAGTCAACAGAAAATATTCTCTCGATTTCCTAATGATCGAGAGAAAATTACTAGCATTTCCCTAGCCCTCAGGAAAATCCAGTAATTAATTTTCCCTTTATTATTTATTTTATTATAAATTTATTATGAATCTGTGATGAAATCGATTGAAATGTTAAAATAGTTTTATTTTTTTATCGTTAGCTTTTATTTTTGAATTTTATTTTTAGTTTCGCCAATAAATAGCGCTCGTTAGAATCAATAATCGTGAAAAAATTCTCGATACATTATTTTATCGAATGGATTTATTCATCTACCTGAATTCTCGTTTCGTTAATTGAATAATTTATTTTTTAATTCTCTCCTCAAAATCCGCGAACCTAAGAAAGATAGAGGATTGTCGTCGGGACCTTTTTTGGAGCCCTGAATTCGCCCTACAAAAAAGGTCATAACAAAAAATTCGCTATCTCCATCAGCTGTCCAGATTTTAATAAAAAATCGAGCGACGGTGAAAACACACGATACGATACGCATTTTCTATTTTTCCAGGGATTTCCCTGAGTCGCAATTTCCGAAAAAAAAATTTACTTCAAAGCTCCAGATGATACGTTAGATTCCTCTGAAAAGCGAGCCTTAAAGACTTGAGAATAAAGGAACTCTTACGTCGAGGAGTGAAAAAAATGTGAAAAGAGAAAGAGTGGAGGTCTACGATGCACTGGACAAGTTGGAGATGCTTCCAGGAATAATCATGAATAAAACAAGTACTCCGCATGATCCATTATCAATTAATAATCGAGATATGCTGTCAGAGATTCAGTCTTTAAATTCCCTACACCATTTTCCACTTCAAGACATATTTTCAATTTTTTTTTTCGAGTCATTCTCTGAGGGCTGTGGTATTGATTCTCCAGCCTCCACTTCACTCTCACCTCCAGAACTTCCAGATCTTCAGGTACGAGATGCTCTCCCTGATATCTTTTTAAAATTCGCGGGAATTAAATCCCAAGAACGAGAATTCACGTAATTATTCCCACGAATTTATTAGAGTTATAATTTATTGGTTTTTCATGGAAATATTTAAACAAATTATGTAAATCATTGAACAATTAATTTTAATGATGGGGTGAGAGGATTTTAGTGGATCCAGCGAGAAATCGAGGGGTGAAAATCCAGGGATAAGTGAATAATTGTCGGACTAGTGATGGAAAAATGGGGGAAAACCGGGGAAAAATGATCAATGAAAATGTAAAATTTGAGGGATCAAACCACCTGTTAAGCCCTCGCTCAACAAATGGAGCAACAAAAGGTGAATGAATGAAGAATAAATTGAAATGGAAAATCACTGAGAGTCCAGCAGGTGGTGGTCAGATAATAATTGCGAGAATGAACTATTAAACGGAAAAGTGTTTAAAAAAATAAAATAGGAGGGATGGAGGTGGTGACACAAGTGGAAAAGTGGTGGGGAAAAAAAATGAGGAGAGGTACGAGGGGATTGGAGAGAGGAGAGAAGTGAGTTGGAGTCGAGGGCATTCTGGATCAATACTCCCACCCATTGCCAACTACAGACTATCCACATCACCTTCCTCAGGGCTTCGTCATTCAGAAGACCAAATTCCTAACTTCCATGTGACAATCATTTTCTTTTTTTTTTTATTTATCTTCTTTCATTTTTTTACGGAATTTTTTTTCTTTTTTTGGTCAATATTTGGAATTTTTTAAATAGATTTTTCCATTTTTATTTAATTATTCGTAATTGAAGACTTGGTATTTTTTTTTAAACATTTAGAATTCCTCTGGGATAATCATCGGTTTTTTATTTAATACAATGATTTATTGTACCTCATTGTTTATTACAAATTGAAAATGAAATAAAATCCGCGAAAACCGCGATTAGTTCTATTTTTAATCCCCGAATGACTAATTCCTCTTCTTTGAAAAGTGATTGCATTGCTCTGATGTCACGTAAGCAAAAAAAAAATCCCGCCATGCAAAACCAAAAAAAAATAAAAATGCACTCGACAAAATTTATTCAACCCGATGAGACGGTGATTTTATTAATCGGGATTTAACCTCGAGGTCGTCCCGGATGTTTGTTAATGATAATAAGATAATAAAATAATTAAACAATTTGTCTAGTCCGATGTGTGTCGCCCGTGGAAATTGACAATTTTGAATTATGATACGCGCAACCGCAGAATTTCGGGAAAACCGGAAGTCCAGTGGTCAATTACTATCAATTATCATATGTATTCCCTCGCCCATGTGTTATATTGTATATAAGCATCGATCGTCTGCAAGGACATTGCGCCGGAGGAATTACGTCACATTGATCGACACGTGCTCTCTTTCTCCTGTACAATAAATTCATTTTTTATTAAATAAATTATAAAAACAGAAAAGAAAATTCGGAAAACATCTAATTAATCCAATAAATTATTCCCCAATAAGAAATCATTTCCACGAGCCCTGAATTTTCTGTTTTCCATAAAAAAATCTGGAGTCAGAGAATTTTTCATAAATAAATAAATAATAAATAATTCTCTTCCGACGAAAATTACCGGCGAAATGTAATAATTAATGCAATGACTTATTTTTAAATAGAAAAATCTAGAATTGTCGGTCCGTCAAATTTTGTGGGAATTATTCTGGGAATATCTCGACAGGAAATGGATCTGGAGAAAAATGTCAATGGAAATTTCAGGGGGGAATTTAATTCCCAAGAAATAACTTCTTGATATTTTCCACCTCGACCCTCTCATTACCAAGATAATCCCGTAATCAAGAAAAACTTATTCCATGTCTCCAGGATTTTGCTATTTGCCCCATTGATGAATTAGGAATTCGATTACCTAGAGAAAATTTAATCAACACAATTTTTCCCAGAGTGGCTATTTATCCCTGACCTTGAATTAGAAAATAAAAAGTAATTTATCAGTGAAAATAATCAACAAGGGAACAAACGAGTAAAAAATTTCATGAGAATCGAGATAATTCGATGGAAAATAATTGACGGAGTAATTAATTCACTCATTGTTCACAGCTTGATTAATAATCCACATTATTCCAAACTTTTTCTTCAATTAAAACAACAACTCGATTTTCTCAAGCCGAGGAAAGCCTCTGCCTACCCCTGAATTATTTATAATTATTTAAAAAAATAACAAGAAAAAAAGGAGATGAAAAATTCAGAGGGCAAAATAATTGTTCTCATCACTGAATTTTGTAAATAAAAAAATCTGCTAATTGAAATCAAACATCAATAATCAATTGCGTCATGCCCTTGATTGATTCAATTTCGTGTCTTCCAATGACGAAATAAAAATACAATAACGAGAGGATAAAAAAAATTCTACCAGAATAAATAAATAAAATAGTAAAATGATAAACAAATGATTTTGCAATGATGGATTGAGAAATGGATAAAATCGATTTGCCAGTGAATTTCAAAGGAATTATCGATGTTACATGATAAGATAGACTTTCAACATTATGCGATACCATTGTACCCCGATATCAACAATCAGATCACCTCGGGTATTTCAAAGAGAAATTAATGTACATCGACAAGTTTATTGTCGTCCATTAGACATTGTAATTAAATCCAAACTCCATCACCATTAATAATCAGATATTACAGTTTCTGGAAGTATTCCCGCAAACTTCTCACCAATAGACAAATCCCAGAAGTTGAAACTCCAATTAATGACTTCCGAATTAATGAAAAAACAATTAACCATAATTATTCCATAAGAAATATTCCATAAAGTAATTCAAAACATTGAGTAACTCCAGCGAATTAAAAGAGTAATGGATTAATTAATAAATAGAGTAATGGTATAATTATTGATTGAATGAGTGAAATTATGTTTTTGCCTGGAAAATTTTCCAGAAAAATCGATGGACTTGGAAAAATGAATAAATAACGTCCAATGGAGGAAGAAAATAAAACGTATTAGTCAGATACTCGTAGGAAGCTATAGCTGGTAATGCGTGGGCCCCTGAATATTTTATCGAGCCTCGAGAGAACTGAATCGAAGTTACAAACGAGATCCATTGAATCGAGCCACTTCGGAAAATCGATTTTTTCCTTTGAATATCACCGTTAAATAATTCCAGGATAAAATCTCACATGATACCTGTAGAAATATCAAATTCCAGATGAATTATTATGATGTATTGTGTATTTTTATGATAATTCGAATTATGCAATTGATTATGGTAAAGGAATTGTAGAAAAATTGAGAGAAATAATCTAGAAAGTGATTAAATTGAAAGCAAAACAGATTTTCGATGGGAATTTTTCCGAGTCAGTGATTAAAGTGTCAATTGAATCCATCAACGAACCAATCGAGGAAATCGCTCTGATAAAATTCAATAAAACAACTCCAGCTGAATTATATAAGAATAATCACGCGACTAATGAATTAAGAGTATATTTATGGATCTGATCGTCAAAGGAGAATTATTTTTAGATATTAATATAAATTCCTGGCACGAGTTGTAAGCGCAAAGCCAAAAAAACAAATGGCCTATAGATGTACAATAGATTCGATACGAGATAATAATAACGATTGATTCGTAAAGTGATAATTCATTAGAATTAATTTGATGAATTCTATTCGATTGATCTGGTGTCACGTGTTTCGGGGAAAATAACAATTCCCAGTGGAAATGCCGAGTTATTTCCGGTATTTCTGTAAATTCCTCATCTCCACGTGAATTTAATCTCCACCACAAGAAAGCCAGAGAAATTTCCGCCCCTAAACTTCCCAGGGAGTTGAATTTTCCACGAGAACCTCAAAGATCTTCACCGAAGAATCCTCACCCCCAGGGCATTTCCACTACAATCAACACCAAAAACCTCCCCCATCCCTGCGATACCTTACGATAACTCCCGCAATTACTATCTGCAATTAATTGAGAAATTGGAATGAGTGGATTTCACTTGGGGTCAGTTATCTGGGGATATCTCCTGAAGGAAGAGAGATGGAGGAATTTTCATGGGAACCATTTTTGTAGAACGCAATGAGTACCAGATAAAAGGCTCTCATAAAAATTTCGTTATCTGTCTTTATTTACGAGATACATATTGATCTGTACTCATCTATCACGAATTCGTAAACTGGGATAAATTCATTTCACGTAGAATCAGTAATGGTTATCGTGAAATATCTCCCGAAGGAAGAGAGATGGAACAATTTTCATAAAAACTTTTTTTATAGATCATAACAAGGCGTAAATAAAAGGTTATTATAAAAAAGTCGTTACTTCTCTCCATTCGCGAGATATTCATCGATAACTAAACAATCGAGAGAAAAACAATTGAGATATTGTTGTTATTTTCGCTTGTCCTTCGATAATTAATGAACAATCTGCGATATCCTCTGGAAATCCAGTATTCCTCGGTAATTATTTCCAAAACGATGGAGTGAACAACGAAAAACATAAACTCCATCACGAAATAATATAAAAAAAATTACCTTTGAGCTGCGGCAACTGCTGCAACTCAACGTCCTGTGAATTTCTGTACCTAGAGGATCCCTGTGACTTCTTGGACTTCTTCTTAACCGATCGCTTGGCAAACGGATCTATCCGATCGACAATCGTGCCAACAGATGACATGTTGTTAGGACTTGAGGCACTGCGGATGCTGGATTTTCTCGTACCTCCGGCGTCACGCTGGTGCCCCTGTTCCTCTCCTTCAGGCGATGTCGTGGCTGCTAAATCCCTCAAAAATTCACTTCAATCATCCGTGGACACATAACTCGATCACCACTCAATTACAAAAACACCTCCAAATATCCCGAACAACCCGATCAATCACTAGGTTAACTCACTTCACTCCATCCAACGACTTAGCACCCTAGGCGTTGTCAATTCCCCCAACTTCCCGGACACCCCTGGATCCCCCAACCCCTTACAACAAATTTCCAAAAACACCCCCCAAAACACTCGCCCAGCAGTTGATGTCCCAGGATGTTCCAGCACCACTGGAGCAACCACAATTATTGGTTAAACGATGAATTTACGAAAAAAAAAAATTCTCGTCTCGCTTGTCCACTATCCACTGGGCCCTCTTGCGTGAGTTTCTATCACAAAAGCAACAACTCCCTCACTTGGACAACCAATAGTTCACCCTTGAAGAGAAAATCAGAGAAAAATTGTCAGGGCAATTGATTTATTTTTTTTTTTATTACTATTTTTTCACTCTCTCAATTTTTTAAAACTTTTGTTTATACTCACGGAGTTGACTACGGGGGCTTTTTTTTTTGCTTTTCTTTTTTTGCGATGTGAGAATTCGATAGCCGGGCACCGGCTAAATGCACGTCCGGATACTCCCGGAGGAGAGAGGAGGAGAAAAAGGGGAGGGAGTTGCTCCAAGCACCGTTATATCACGTCTTGAGTATCACTCCGAGGAGTTTATGGATTATTGGGATTTGTTTATCCGTTTTTTATTCCGTGGAATTTCCTCTGGTTGTCTTCAGCTGCATCAACGATGACAGGTGATCCAGGGGGTGGAATATTTTGGGGTGACTTGGGGGCCTCTGGGGGATTGGGGGAATTCTCCGGTTATTTCGGGGGTTTAGGTGCACTTGGCCGCCATCAGCTGGTCTTACAAAATTCTTAGGAGTTTTTTTAAATTTTTTATCGGGAGCGATGGCCCCAGGGTGTCGCTTTCATTTTTACGAGTTTTCACGGTTTTCACTTGGAATTTTTCTTTTGGAATTCTATTGGTATTTACACTTGACACTTCGGGGATTGTTGGAGCACTTGGTGTAATTTTTACATGGGGTTTTTCATCGTTTTTCACGTGGTGGAGAGGGGATCGGGTTTGAGAACTTTTTTATCGGTTTTTCCGGGATTTTTCAGAGTAGACGCGGTTTTTTTTTTCAGGTGCGAAATTGGAACGAACAAGCCGTCGGGTTTGAGGTGCCCCTTCTGTGCCTGAAAATAGTAATGTGTGTGCTGAGGCAATCATTTGGACACGAGCTTGCACGAAGAGACACGGACGCGGGCGAAGGGGGCGCTAGGCGCCCAGCGGGGGATTTGAATTTTCTGTCGCGTCGGGTTTTCTCGGAATTCTATCATTTTCTTTGTGTTTTCTAAATAAATTCCTGTGGAATTTTTTAGAAGATTTATTTTCTGCGGTTTTTGCTGGTTCTCCCCAAATTTTTGAGGGACAGAAATTTCAGAGGAATTCCGGGAATTCACTGGGAATTTTGTGGAATTTTCTTGAATTCGATTGAAATTCCCATTGATTCCTTGAATTTTGTGGAAAATTCGACGATTTTCTGAAATATTTATTGAAATTTTCATTTCCTCCCGAGGGGAACGCGGAATTCCTCGACCCCCCGGTGGTGGGGGTGGAATTTCCGCGGGGATTTTCGAGTGTTAAAACGCCAATGACGCGAATGTGGCAGCAACACCGGAGACTAGAGTCCCGGGGAAATTAATTAGTGAATTTTTGATGGGGTGGAGGGGTTTTTGACATTTTCATTCGATTATTCGAGGGTGCATTGTGATTAAACAATCGATAATGATGACACAAGTGAAGGAAAATGGAAGTCTTCAGGAATTGAGAATTCCAGGAATTTCCGGGGCTCGTGGGGGCGAGTAAAGATTAATAACCTTAAACGGTAATTATTATTTTAAAAAATGTAAAGAAAAATATGGAATTCCCTAAAAATCTCCAAGAATTCCTCGAAGTTCCCCGAATTAAAAAATAAAAATCACAATTATTCATGATTTCCATGCATTATAATAAAAAAGTTTAATATTCTTGTCCTCCAGGATATAAACAAACCAAGACAATGAATTACCTGGAGAAATGCCCAGGAATGTACTGCGGACGAGAGCTCCTGGGTGACGGAAACTGGACAGATTGCGGTGCCTGTCCCCGAGGATTCAAAACAAACGAGACCTCCATCTGCGTCCCGTGCGACGACAATCCAATGCTCTACGACTGGCTGTACCTCGGTTTCATGGCACTCCTGGCACTGGTGCTCCACTGGTTCTGCATCGACATGGTGGCAATGAGAAGAAACATCCCCAAGGAGGTGATCGCCCTCCACCTGTCTGCCCTCGTGGAAATCCTCGGTGCATCCCTCATCACTCTCCAATTGACCGAACCCATCGGTTCCTTCGGCATTCAGTCCTGCAGGATTAAACGACTCTCGGATTGGTACACGCTACTTCATAATCCTAATCCTAATTACGAGAGATCGTTGCACTGCACGCAGGAAGCTGTTTACCCACTGTGAGCAATTATTCCTTTATTTTATTAATTATTATTTATAAAAATACTTATTTCGCCATTTTATGAATTAATTAATCATTTATAATTCGTAATTAATTCATAATTATTCGTAATCCATCGAATTTCGTTGTTAATTCAATTATTTATTCATTTTTATTCAAATTGAAACTGGAATTTTGATGATTTATCGGAAATTCGTTGGGAGTTAATGATTTTGGTGATTTTTGCAGGTATACAATGGTTTTTGTATTTTATTCCCTGGGAGTCCTCCTGATGCTCCTCCTGAGACCTCCAATAGCTCAAAAATTCCTCCCTAAACAGGGAAAATTCTCAATTTACGCTGCCCTGTACTTCTTTCCAATTCTGGCTCTACTGCATGCAGTAGGCGGTGGATTAATCTGCAAGTCAATTCCCTAATTATTATTTCATTAACATCTCATTAATGAGGGGATAAAGGAGAAATTTTTCCGTTTAAAAAATCAATTTCTCTTTTCACCTCTCCTTTTCCGGGATATTAACGAAATAATTTCCACACGTAATGGCGATTCAAATAATTTTTCAATGATTAATAATTATTATTTCAGATTACTCGTTTCCATACATCACGATTATCCTCTCGGTCTTGTCGAATGCAGCGCACTTTGCATTCAAATTGAATCAGGTAAACAAGTGCAATTAGGTAATGCACGCGATTTATTGATGAGAATTTTATTAATAATCCCGCGGTAATGAGTTTTTGTCTTTTTTTGTTGTTCAGACTATGAAGTCGCTGCTGCTCAGTTCAGTATCGGACATTAAGAATGTCGTCGTCATCCTGGGACACTGGCTTCTTCATGGATACGGAGTTATGGCTGTTGCAACACTTCGTGGCGTCAATATTCATCCGGCAATGGTCATACTGGTACCTTTACCCGCATTATTCTATATACTCACTGCCAGATTTACAGATCCACATAAACTCCACATAGAGTAATTACTCTGTGAAAAATGCAGTGAAAAGTCTTTTTTCTTAGTGTGTGGGATTAACACGAAAAGAAAAATTAAGTCGTTTAAACAATTTAATTTTGTAATGTAGTGTAAATATGAGAGGAGAGGATTGAGGGTTGAAAATTGTATTATAAAATTATTACGTAATGTTTGTATTGTAATTTGTTCATAAATCAAAACTTCGACTGTAATGACGATAATAATGATGAATAATTATGAGATCTAGGTGAAAATAAAGGGAAACAGATGGAGATATTGATTCATTTATTATTATTTAAATATTAACATTGACTGATTAATGCTCACGTCAATTATTATTCTCAAAAATGCAGGTAATTCATATATAATCCCGCAGAATACATAAATAAGAACGATTAAATGCGTTTCAAGACCTGTTTGGCATTTTTTGCCTAAAATTCCGGTGTAGTCACTCGAGAATTTATTTTTCATTCTTCTTGGGGACGAAGGTCAGCACCAGAGTGCTCTTAGGGGCTATGGGGACCTTCTTCGAGAAAAGTTTAGTTCTGAAAAAAAAAATCGAAATGATTAAAACGAATTCACGGGTCTTTCCCAAAAAAGAGAGTAATTGTCTGGGGATTTTGAGAATTCTTACTCGATCGTCTCGTCTCCCTGGACGTAGTTTGGACTGTAGGTCAAGACGTTGACCTCCTCGGGCACCCGAGGAATTCCTGACAGATCGATAACTGCTGGATGCTCAGAGCTCTGATAAGCCACGAGGTACCCAGGAAGTCCACTCTTCAACCTGTCAAAAACCCATAAATAATTAATAAAATCACTGAATAATTATTTGCGCTATCAAACATCATTCCATGCTTGTGTAATGATTTCTGTAATTACCTCATTACTTTTTATATAAAAAAATACAATTTCAAATTGAATTTCATTTACATAAAATAAAAAAATCATCAATAAATCATTCTGAATAAACCATTGATTCAATTTCCAAATATTCGTGAATTAAAAATAAATAACAAACTGAATAATCAAGCGAATAAGTCATGCAATTGTTAGTGACAACTCACCCACTCCTACACTCCCACGAAAAATCCATGAAATTAAAACAAACCACATGGTTAGTCAACAATAAAATGATTCAAGACCGAAATAAAAGAGTTCTCTGAATGATCCAATTCTTCAGTGAGTGCCCGCAGGATAGAAGCAATTGAAACGTCAATTGATTTTACTCGAGTGATGTCACGTCAAAGGAATTATCATTGTCCCTTTATTCCCACAACACCCCAATTACCTCCCAATTCCCCTTCACGATTCTCTTGTTCTCGTGCTCATCAAAGAACTTTTTAATATTCCCTTGATTTATCAACCCACCTGGTGTACACGAAGACTGTCCCATTGACGATGTCTGTGTGAAAATCTCCATACAAAAATATTTCATCGCTACGTTTCTCCGATAAAGTTGCAAAAGCTGCTCTAGCTGGCGACGACAGGGTGTCATTGAGCTTGAAGACAGGCGTCCCTGGGAGAAGGACAGACATCAAGATGAGGCTGTCAGCAACTGGCGATGGCATACGATCACGTAGTGCCCTCTCTTTTCCATTCAACTGCAAGCAAAAAAATTTATTCAAAGTCCCATAATTTGAAACCTAGAGATGATGAAATAATCTTACATCCCACGCAGGCCACCTGGCCTTGGAACTATTATAAAGATGACTCCTCCACTGATTGACTCCCTTCTGGAGTGCCTCAGCAGTGACTCCCTCATCGGCATGCATCAGGAACATTGAGCTCTGAGGTAGATCAACGAGACTCTGATTCTCGTTGAATACAGCAAGAATATCCGATGCAATATCATCCCTCAACGCGAATAATCCATCGCCATTTGTTTTATTGATGATATTTTCTCTCCAGACCCTGAGCACCTGAGCATTTTCCACCCTGTCCTTGGTGTAGACATGGAGGAGTGACTCGTATTCATCGACATCAGCAGCACTTGAGCTCAACCTCTCGTCCTGAAGGTTGGGATCCTCTATGAGATGCTGTGTGAATCCCAGTCTGAATCCGCTGATACCCAGGTCCAGCCAGTGATTGAAGATCTTGTTGAATTCCTCGATAACTAGGGAATTGTTGAAATTAAGGTCAGGTTGGGATTTGTCGAACTGGTGGAGGTAGTACTGGCCTCTCTGGGCGCTCCACTCCCAGGCAGATCTCCCATTAATGCTCAGCCAATTGTTCGGGGAGTTGTTAGCGTTGTCAGCGTCGATTTTGGGACTTGCCCAGACGTAGTAATTGGTGTAGGGCTCCTCTCTGTTCTGCGACCTGTTGAACCAGGGATGATCAATGCCAGAGTGATTGGGATCGATCTCCAGGACGACCCTCTGATCCTTCTCCTTTGCTAATTTTATCAGGCTCTTGATGTTCTCCATTCCCACCTTGGGATCGACGTCTCTGAAATCCGTAACGTGCCCTGGGGACGTGGATTTCAGGATGTTCGAGAGGGAGAGCACTGATATGTGTTGGCTCTTCAGTTGGTCCAGGAGGTGTGATAGGGAGATCGCGTCTTTTGCCTCCAGGTCTTTTGGCTCCAGCTGGACAATCGGTGACTTCTCCGACCAGGTCTTTGCTTGTGGTGCTGTGCATTTTGGGGCTAAAACAATTATTGCTATTGCTCCAACCAGCATTCCCACCCACAGCAACCAGAAGCCGATGAACAGGAACCAACGGAGGCGTATCCAGAAAGGATCGTTCGCGTATTTCATCAGCTCCTCTTTACCCATTCCTGAGAGGGTCGGTGGCTTCGGGGCCACGTCGATCTTTGCGTCTCCATTCTCTGAGATAAAAATTACCTGAAATTTTGAAATTGAAATTTTTCATTGTGATGACAATAATTATTTCAGGACTGCTATATCTTTGAGGGGATAATATCTTTTCCTCGGGGATTATTTACTTTTGTCATGATAAAGAGACATTTATTTTTAGCGTTCCACTTGGCTTTGATAACTCCATCGACTTCGGGGAGGGGAAATGCTGATGCAACAGTGCAGTCGTCAGGGTGTCGGATTTCATGAAGAATATGTGAATTCTCAAGGACTTGACGGTTTAAAGAATAATTAAATAATAAAAAACTCATCGTTTTGTACAGTAATTTCAATTTTTCCATCAATTATCTCATTTCCACTCTCAACTCTCAAACAAATGCTAAATAAAATAATTAATAATTTAATTCCTCAGGTTTTTACAAATTATAAATTATTTTCCAAAACCTCAAAAACGACTGAATAATCAGAAAAATTATAAATCGATAAATTAATTAATTAGTGATGCAAAAATTCATATATTTTTCAATATTTTATAATTATTGACGTTTTTTTATTGAAACCCCATTTTTTTTATAAAAAAAAATTCGAAAAAAATGGGTTGAACAGTCGCAAATCGAAAGATGGAAAAATCGATAAATCGACAAACCACCAATAAAAAATAATTGTTAATATTTTACGGGATGTTCCCCCGAAAAAACGACGCTAAAAAACAAGGCGTCGGCCATTTTTCCAGTGGTGATGAAAAAAAAATTGAAAATTCACCTGAGACGCGTCCTTTTTGGGGCTGATCTTGGTGTCATCGGTGAGCATCTTCTCCTTGGCTCCATCATCGATCTCCTCGTTCTCAGGTTTACCCATGTCCAAGGTATTCTCCTGTCTCTGTGCCTGCCAATTGCTGTCCTCGTCAGGAATAGACTTGTACGTGGCAGCGACTGTCTTATTAGTGCCATTAACCTCGGCATTAGTCTCCAAATCGTGTCTCCCACTCTCCATTTTCTTCTCGTATTTTTTTTTGCTGACTTCAAGGCCAATCACTGCCTGATTGACGAGTCGTTACGTAATTTTTGCGAGTAACCCACGAGGACTTTGAGACGCCAACGGATCTGGAGGTAGAGTCCTCGTTTTTTTTTTACTAGGGAATCCTCTCACTTTTTTTCAGATTTTTTCGCTGGATGATTTCATTGGACCACTCGTGTGCACATTCCAGGGGGCAGCACCAATTTCCTTTTGTTCAAATTATTCCATTTTTTATTTTTTTATTATGTCATTTTTTTTAAAACCAAATTAACCCTCACCCCAATAAAAATCTATAACAAAGTCCCATTAACCCCGAATGAAGTGAAATTAATCCGTAACAAAGTCCAAGAAGAAAAAAAAGACTAAAATCAACTCAAATTGTGCAAATCAACAAAATCAGTCGGTCAGTCGTTTGAAAATATGAATTGCTTACCTTTTGGTGAGTGTGATTTAATAATTTCGAAGGGGAAAAAGCACTCAACAGTGAATTGTTCGTCAGACAACTCTGGAAGCTACTCTGCCCTTATCTCAGTCAACGATGAGTATTTCGTCATCAGATCATTATCATTATTCAATTTCTGTTTAATAGAATTGAGAGATAAGAATTGTTTGCACCATACACAGCACGCGATTCGTTTTTCTCGATCTTGAGTGATGAATTTAGAAGAGAAAATTATTTTAATCAATAATTTTCACTCTAAAAACGACGAAAAGAATATTTTCAAAAATTCATCACCCAAATCTGCCTCTATCTCAAAAACCGTGAGACTTATTAAAAAATGTTAAAAGACCTTTTTTATAATTCATCGAATTCCTCACAAAAAAGTCCTCTAACATTTTTTTCTGAAATGAAAAATAAGCGAGATTAATCCACAAGAATAAAAAAACGGATTTGCACAAGAGTTGGATTTATTCATAATAAAAATAACAATAAAATACAGTAAAAAAAATGGATACTGAGCGATGAATTAATCATTTAATGAGCTTATACTATTTCTGTCACTGATACGTGACTCTCTGGAATAAATTACTGATACCGCAAGTGTTCAATTTTTCGTTTGCTATAAATATCTTGAATTTTATTAAAAAAATTGAACAAAGACGTGGGATTGATAATCGTATCGCTGTTGTCAGTCGAAATATATTTTTCACAGCTAAAAGTAGTTATCAGTCAAATAGGAGTGACGTAGTCATTCGCTCCGATTATTCGATTTATTTAATAGTAGAATAAATAGTTGGATTAAAATTTGGAGATCAGATCGTGGGCCTGCAGAGACTGGGGGCCAGACAGAAATAAGTAGAGGCTGATAATATTATCACTAATATCAGAGCTCCCCAGAATATCCAAAACAACACCAACCGGATTTTTATCCACAGCGGATTCGCCGCGTAGTAGTCGTAGTCGCCCATTACTTCTGCGAAAAAATCACCAATTATCTCGAGTTCTCATCATTCCAGACGAAAACATCATAAACCTTTTTCATAGAAAATTTCATCCTCTACAAAAAATGTTAATAACACTTTTCTCTCAAATCACTCATTACGGAGATACACCGGAAAGCATCCGGAAACGTCACGAGTCACGAAATTTCATTGTCACATTTTCTGAGTTTAAAATTACGAGGTAACTCGGCAATGGGTGGATTTACGAGAAAATGTGATAAATCCGAATTTTTATGGAATGAAATTTTCTACGGAAAAGGTCCTGAGGATTTTGCGGAGAATCCACTGAGTATCGGGATATCCCCGGAAAATCAGAATTTTCTCACACTTCACGAATAAATCGCACCATTTCGAAAACACTTTCCATCCCCGAGATCTATAAAAACGGGATTATTTATTAGACGAGTGGTTTCGTTGATCATCCTCTGGCATTCTGACGGCTGCTCTCCCCTGATAAAGTCCGTAACCGACTGAAAATCCAGAAGAAAAAAATTTCTCAAACAAATTTCGTGAAAACTCAGAATTTTCCGATATAAACCCAAAAAAAAATCGAGAAAATTGATAAAAAATTCCACAATAATTAAAAGAAGAAAGAGAAGAGTCTTATCGTAGGATAATGATATATTCAATTGAATTTACCAGATAAAGTTTGACGATTGAATGCATGATTCTTCCTCTTTGAGCTCTGGGAGCAACTGAATCGCTCTGGTATCAACTGAAACTGCTGAATTGTTGTCTGTATCGTGCAGGGAGTAAATAAATATAATTATTCAATACACAGGGGTTATTATAGCAATGGCAAAACCATAATCCTGCGGATTCAACTCCAACATCTGGTGATTCTGTGCTTTCTTGAGATTATTTTTAGATTTACACAGGTGTCTCCTCTTTGTTCTCTATAAATTAATTTTAATTATTACCGTCCATCAATATTCAAGTCCCAATCCTCTAATGATTATTAACAAGTGTGAGATCAGAGGCAATTGAGACAAAAGAAAAGATTTAAATAATTCATTCACTCAATTAAATCGCCAATTTCGTCTTTTTTTTATTCAATTCTTCTAGTAAATTCTTAAGTATTTTTATATCGAGTAGAAATCGTATTTACAGTTGAATAAATTTTTTTAATAATTTGTAATTAGTCATTGGAGTAATTATGTACAATTTATTTAGGATTATTTGACTTTTTTGTCGTCCGTTTGTGGGGACAGACTCGATCGCAATTTTGATACGACTTCCGTGAAAATAATTGTACCAGAGAACACTAGGATTGTACCCAGCCAGTGGTAGATGCTGAAGGAATTCCTGAAGTACATGATTGAAAATAGTAATGAGACGAATTTACGGAGGGTTACGACGAGGGTTACTGTTAGGGATGTACACTCTGTCGTCAGGACGAACACCGAAGCGATGCACATGTACCTGAATAAATCGTTAAGGAATTTACACAATAATCGATCATTAAATAGCACGTGATAAAAGAATTCTCTAAACAATAAAAAAAAATTAATTCCAAGGATACTGCGAGAGAACATTTCCAATAAGATAAGCAACAGTTTTTGGTAAAGAAATTCCCAAAACTTCGATGAGATCCGAATTGACTGCCAGAACAGAATGATCCCAAATATTCGTTGCTAAAGTCAAGAAGAATGGCAGGGGTAATAAATGCTGAAAATAAAAATAATCCTCATTACCTCCAATTAAAAAAAAAAACAATCCCCCAAATAAAATTGAATAAATCCAAATAATTCAGATATCACTGAAAAAACACAGAGGTAAATCCGCGAATATCTCACGAAGGCGCGATTTCCGAGAAAAAAATGTAGAACATTTTTTGGAGGAAATTCAATTCTCCAGGAAAAAGGTCTTATGTGTCACCGCCGTAAGCCTTCGGTTTTCCGAGATATTGGGGATTTGGAAATTTTTGGGAGTACTCACTGTGTAATATAAAGCCTCTTTCGGGTGTTTTCCGTATTTCAGGTACAGAACTTCCTGGTACAGCCCCATCCTCGCCGAGATGAAGAGGGCAACAGTCAATAATGTGATACCTAGACTCCACCAGAACAAATTTTCCATTGCAGTCGGTGGTACAGCGTCTGCTGCCATTTTTTGAGTCGATTTTATATCTCGTCCACTGACTATCGTGCAAAGAACTATTCCCAGGGTTATCATAAATACTGATAGGTATTTGCTCGGTGGATACTTCCTTCCGAGGATTATTATGCCCATTACCATATTCGCTATGAGTGATCCCTAAAAAAATCATAATCTCCAATAAATTATGAACTGCAAGCAAATCCTGAAAACTCGTTATCCAGAATTAACGCATTTATCCGTAATATCTCGTAAATGAAGAGAGATGGAGAAATTTTCATGAATATCATTTTTGCAAAGCGATAAGAGGACTGCAAAAAAGATATTTATAAAAATTTCGGTATCTCCTCTAGAATCCGAGATATTGATCATAGTCTTCCCCTCATTACTTGGAATTTATGATTTAGTTGAATTATTTCAATTGTCTTATCAGTAATTCATTCTGCATAAATAAATTACTCTGTCTGGATAATTGTATTTTGTGAGATAACAGTGGTTTCGAATTTATTAAGATTATTGAAATTTTAATGCTGGAGTGCGAGGGAGAAAAAAAACGGATTCACGTGCTCCAGACAATAACAAAAGAATTTCAGAGGTAAAATGTTAAAATATTGTTGAGTCAAGAGTGATAAAGTCTTGGATTTTAATTACTGATGAATTAATTGACATGAATATGTGAACTGAAGGAAATTCGAGGTCTTTCCTGGCGTCGAAGTTGAAAAAAATGATTTCTCATAAATCTCAATCCTCAAATAATTCTACAACTAATGACTTCAGAAAAAAATGTCATCCGACTTTTTTCAAGATCATCGCACGATCTCCAAAAAATTCCTTTACCATTTTCCCCTAACTCCAACCACTCCGGAGATATTCATCAAAAAACATTCATAAATCCCATAACGTCAACTCGACTCGCGAAATTCCACTCGAACAATTCCCTGAATATCTCCGAAATTATTGACTTCACAAAAAAATATATTGATCATTTTTTGCAGGCCATGAAATTCTGTAGAAAAAATTATTACGAAATTTTCCTCTAAGTCTGTAATATCCGGCAATATCGCAGTGGATTCGTTACTCACCGCTCTGAAGATCATGTGCAGGGGCATAGGGATATTAAAATCAAATGCATAATTATTGCAGACACTCGCCACGAAGAACATGAAGACCATAATCATGTAGTCCTTGAATCCAATCCTTGGTTTGACAGTTCCAAATTTCGAGGTGAAAATAAATCCCTCGAGGGAGATGAAGAGAAACTGAGAAAAAGTGATGAGATTTCCACTGCCCGGGTCTTCCCTAAAAAAAAAAAACAAATCAGTCCCTCGACTTCACTCCGTATTCCCCATCCTCTCGATCCTGAATTTCCTTTCGAATTATTTATTGACTTGATAAATAAATATATGCAGTAGTTATTAAATTAATCACTCACTTAACCAAAAGCTCCAGGAAGACGACATTGGAGCAGCATCCGAGGAAAACACACGCGATGGCGAGTGCAACTTTCATTCTTGATTAATTAATTAGAATGCAAAAACTTTTTTGAGTGTGCACTTCAATACTGCACATAACCTTCGAGAACTGACGGCCCAGGACGACTAAACGAAGTGAATCTTCTGTTGTAACTTCGAGTTTTCCCTCGCCATGGCTGACGCATGCGCTATTAGCTCATGAAAATCCACCATTTTATGGTGCCTATCAGCTGTTGAGACGAGGGGATTGACTAAAGTGGAGGCTCATCGCTGTCAATTAAAAAAACGATTGACCCCTGACCCCGCAAAAATGTCGAAACCCCAGGAGTTCGCGCTGCCACGTGCCCCCGAGGACTTGTGCTTCAAATCCTCGGACTTCATCGCCCCGGACTTCGACGTCGACAATTTTCTGCACGACCACCGTAAACTGGCGACCCTGGAGACGATGAGGGATGACCTAGGGGTTTACCTGAAGATTCTGCGCTCGGCGATGATCGAGTTGATCAACAAGGATTACGCGGACTTCGTAAACCTCTCGAAGGACTTGATCGGCCTGGACAAGGCGATAGACCAGCTCGAGTGTCCCCTGGGGCAGATTCGAGAGGAAGTCCTGCAGATACACCAGACACTGGACTCGGCGACGACGGAGATGTCGAATGGTCTGGAGGAGGACAGAAGAATCCGAGAGGAGAAACAGTGCATGCACAGCCTGGAGAGGGTGTACAAGTCCCTGGAGAAGTTGAAGCACATCCTCGAGGAGTCCGAGTTCCACCAGGTGGACCGCCTCGAACGAGGAGCAACTGAGTACAATCAGCTGATGTTCCACGCCTCCAGATGCATCCAGTACATCTCTCCAGATATTCAGGAGAGTATCGACGCCCTGGAGAAGACGCTGATGACACTATTATCGCGTCAACTGCTGTCACTCCTGCAGGAGAGGTCGGAAGGGCCCCGGGAGGGGCTCGCCAGATGCCTGAGGATCTATGTAAACCTCGACAGGATCAGAGAGGCTGAGGATCTCGTCAGGAGGAGAATCGTTGCACCTGTCGTCGAAGACGTAATCGTCGAAAGAAATATTTACAACGAACCACGAGGGCTTCAGGGGCTCTATGACAGACTCTTGGAGGTACTCACCGTCGAGATGAAGGGTCTTCTCATCCTGGAGGGGATTCTCGAGTCCGACGAGGGCAAGGGATTCAATTTCATCGTTAATTCGTACTGGGTTGAGGTCGAGGAAAAAATTGAGCTGCGTCTCAAGTCCATATTTGCCGCTGGCAATCCTGATCTCTTTCATCAGAGGTTCAGGGAGACCCTCGAGTACCTGAGTGCCGTGGGGAGGCACTGCAGCAACTCCAGGATCCTCCAGGAATTTAAGACACATCCTCTTTACATTCAGTTCATGAAGAAGTGGAATTTACCTGTTTATTTTCAGATTCGCTTTCAGGAAATCGCTGGAAGTGTTGAGCAACTCCTGGGGGAGTCTGCGTCGCCCGGGGCGATCAAACCTAGAGGGAATCCTCAAGACTTCTCGTTGAATCAGACAGAAGTCGTCTGGGGAGCGTTGGAGAAATGCTGGAGTGATGGAATTTTTCTTCAGCAACTGCTGCATCAGTTCTGGAAGCTCAACCTCCAGATTTGCTCCAGGTTCAGGGTATGGGTGGACAACAGCCTCAGGCAGACCTGGATATGGAGCTCTGAGGGTGGGGCACAGGGCAGACTAGAATTCCTGGTGCTGCTGTACTCCGATGTCATGAAATTCGAGGAGAAACTTGAGAGGTTACTGGAATTCGCTGAGGGTAGACTCGGGGAGTTGTTTGGGAGGGCTGATGATGTCCTCAGGGTGTCCCTCCAGGAGGTGAGGGCGGGTCTCAGGGCGGATAGGCCTGGGATCAGTGAGGAAATTGTCAGGGAACTTCTGGGGAAGAGTCTCGAGAGCTTGAAACAAGTCAGTGATATCCCGAGGCTCTTCAGGAGGACCATGAGGGAGAGGCCCACACAGGCCTGTGCATATGTCAGAAATGCTGTTGGAGGTCTCAAGGAGTTCCGGGAGATGTACAAGGACGTGGGGCACCACGTCGTCGACCAGTGGATGCTCATGGCACTCTCTCAATTGGCAGAACAGTCAGTTATTTATTTTATTATTATTATTTGGTCAACGGTTTTAGCAATAATTATTTTCAGGTATTTTATCTCGGTGAAGGATGTCCTGGAGTCTGTCCAGAAGACCGAGGAGAGCCTCAGAAGGCTGAAGAAAATCAGGGACAAATCCTCTGGCGTCTCGCAACCTGAAACCCAGGGAATCACTGATGATGAGAAAATTAGGGTGCAGTTGGAAATCGACGTCAACACCTTCTGCGATTCTGTTAAGTCCTTCAACATCGATGTATCGAGTATTGGAAAACTTGAAGAGTTGAGAGAAATTGTCGAAGCAGCTGTGAAAAATAAAAGCTGAAAGCAATATTCATGAAAATTGAATTCTCACAATTTATTGAATCTAGCTGTTACCATTAATTTGTTTATAACTCGAAAAGTACTGGAATTAGAAAAAAATGTCACTGGAATTTTCTGCAGAATATTTAATTGGCCAAAAAAAATTCCTCCGACTTTTTCTCGTAAATCTCCGGGCTATCGATATATTCACAAATTACGAGAAAAAATAGTAAACAGTTTTCTAAATGTTAATTTATGTTTATTGTTTACGCCCGTATACAAGAGCATACGTGAGAAATTGTTCAGTGTACGAGTACATAATATATTTTTAAAATGAATATTAATTGATGCCACAGGTGTCAAACCCAGAGACTGAATTTATTCCGCAAATAATTGGGATTATAGCCAGTTAATTATTGCTCTAATAATAAAAATTGATCTCTTAATTTTTATATTTACGTCGTTACCCCATTGTATGAAGTTAATACCGTGATTAGCGTGATTAGTGACACCATTTGCAATATTTATACGCCTACGTGGCCACTACCAAAATTATTCATTGAAATAACACTTGCCTAATATTTTTTTTTCACTTTTCCATTTTTTTATAATGTATGCACTGGCATTATAACACTTGATAAATGGTGTACGATGGGATTCCCCAGTGTCTAATCGATGAACCACAATTTTCTCAAGTTCAATAATTATTTAAAACATAATGAAATATCACTGGAGTGAATGGATAAATTCCCCGACTCTCTATTACAAAAAAAACCTGAATTTATCCACTTCATCCCTAATGTCTCCCTTAATCAACGAGAAAAATACTCCACTCACTAATTGATCCACTCGATTCAACAGATAATTAACGCTAAATAATACAACAATTAATTACAGAAATGCTATACAATAAATTAACGAGAGATTTTAACTCATCGATTGATAAATGAGTTTGACACTTTCTCTTTTTCCCAGAGTTCTCCCCGATAATCGAGAGGGAAAGGGACTGATAACATTAGGTATCACTGATTATCTAATTCCTGGAAGATGAGACATAATAATTCAAATAAATTGAGTTTCAACTACTTTAATCGATCAATCAATCAATTAACGAATTATAAATCATTATTCCTGGGTGAGGGGGTACAGGGGATGAACTAAAGAGGGAGAATGCCGATGATAAGAGCAAATTGTGAGTAATTGGGGTGTTGGGTGATCAGCGGAGGTCTGGGTTGTCATTAATTTGCTTTTTTATGCGAAGAAGTAACGTTGTGTACCACTGGTCTAGTCGGGAAATTGAGTCATACTCTTTGACAGTGTCGGTGAAGCCCTCGACGTTCTGCTCCTCCAGATGATCGATGAGACTCTGAATCACAAATAAAAATTCCACATTATTAAAAAAAATTCCACAAATCTAATCACGAAAATTATTGGTGATTAGATTTCAAGATAAATTCGTAATGAACGGGAGATTGTGGGTGGAGATGGAGGACGTTATTTCCCTCGTGAGGTCAGAATTGGAAGTCCATTAAATTTCAAAGAGGCAGTATCGATTTAATCGTACAACCTTGATGAGTTTGCACTCTCTGAAGTCTTGGAATGCTGGATACTGCTCCTCGTATCTCTCGATGGCGTGTTGTGCGTTCAGGGCGTCTACGCAGAGATTGCAGAGGGCTGCTCTGAAAAAATACTCCTTTGCACTGTATTTCAGGAGAGGACTGTCCAGAGATGCTCCAGCAACCTGAAGCCAAAAAAAATAATTGAGTTTTCCTGGATTCTTTGGAGTTTATTCACTCAATTGTGGAATTCTGTTTTTTTTTGGAATTAATTGGGGAATTCTTTAATTCTCTCACTTGTTCGTAAATTCGAATGGCTTTTTCGTAGTTCTCGAGTTGTGCTGCGTATTGAGCGACTTTTAGAAGGCATTTATTTGCTGATGAGATACTCTCTTCTCCTCGAAAATAATCAGCAGCCTGTTCGTAATGATGAACAGCTCGTTCTAAATCGACAGCCTCGCTCTCGTACATCTCCGCTATACTCTGGTGATGTTTAGCTGCCAGGGTGAATCTACCCATGTCCGTGTAAATCTCGATGGCCTTCTGGAGGCAATTGGCCGCCTCTGCGAGAAAAAAATCAGAGATTTTCAATTAATTTTTTCAAAATCGCACCTCTCAAAATTCTCTTCGCATTATGAAGGCCCGAATTTCGGCGAATATCTCAGGAACCACTGATTTTCATGGAAAACCTCAGAGGAACCTTTTGTGGAGCAATAAATTCCCCACAAAAAATGTCTCCTGAAGTTTTTCATGGGGCTAATAATTCTGGAGATATTCACGGAATAGTGGCCTTGATGGAGATTGAAAAAATTGATTTGGCCTTTTGTGGGGTTTTTTTTTTGGGAAATACCATTGGCATCAGTCTTCTTGTAGCAATTGGCAGCATCTACGAAGTTGGTGGCAGCATCGTGCTTGCTACCAGCTTTTGCGTGGAGGGATGCTGCCTCGCAGAAGGCGTTGCCAGCACTTCCCCACTTCTTAGCCATCTTGAAGAGATTGGCAGCTCGTTGGTAGCATTCGACAGCTTCCTCCACCTTCGAGGAACTCCTGGGGACAAAAACGAAGAAAAAACGTCATCAATTAATCCCCAACGTCAAAAATCACACCGGAACAATTTTCCATCGTCTCAAATCTGGCGATAACTCGTTACAGAGTGGTTTCACGAGGAAGTGACAGACGACCTTTTTTATAAATTACAAAATTCTCCACAAAAAATGTTGTATGACTTTTTCCCTGCGGTGGTCCATTCTCGAGATACAACCATAATTAGATAATCACTCGATTGATGAAATCGAAATGAATGAGTTGTCATCATTATCGCGTATTCTGCGTTGAATTTCGATGACAGCGAGGCCATTGTTTACCTGTCAAAGTGTCATTCGCGCGTGCGTAAACATGCGACATCACCCATTCCGTCGAATCCATAAGTTCCTTGTGAATTTGTCAAATAATTCCCAACGACAACGACTGGCGATTGAATAATTTCGTGACGAAGATCGAGAACGAGTGAGTGACGCAGCAAATTATTCATGAAAAAATACTCCATGACGACATGTGATGATCCCCGATTATCAGAGGCTAATCGATATGGCAAAAACTCACCCGAACAGGGAGCTGAAGAATCCTTTGGACGACCCGAGCTTTTTCTCAGCCTCGGCCATCAACTGCACCGCTTTCTGCTCGTTGTCTGCCATTTTTTAAATTGTTCACTTCATCAATTCCGGAAAGAATATATTATCGAATTTATTTTTAAGATAAATGGGCAGCTGGCTGATGGATACCTCTTCCAGGGAATCTACCGATTACACCCGATGGATTTGTCACACACGAGTGGAGGCACTTGCGCAACGCACAATTGTCATTTCACGAGAAGTGCAATCAAGAGACGGAAAATATTCTCGGTGGTTTATTAATTTAACGCTTGGGGGCACTTGTTATTTATTCTGGAATTCCCGCTAAATTCCCCTTTTCAAAAGCATTTGCAAATATTTTATGAAAATGATAATTAATGTTCCAATAATTAATTATTAATGATCTCCTCATATGAATCCTCTGCACCATCTCCATCTGGAAGTGCTATACACTCATCTCCTATCTTTCAATTAATAAATAAATTAATAAATAAATTTATAATCTTTAATCAATTTATTTACATTATTTATTCAAGATAATGGATAATTCATCTCCAAAGAACGCTTTGGAATTTATCCTCAATAGTTGTCTCGTCGTAATAAACATTGAATGCTTTGAATCCGAATCTCTTGGTGGGATCTCTCTTGCTGTTTGAAGGGGCAATGTTGGGCATGAGGCCCGCCTTCTGGGACATCGCTACGAGTTTGTTGAGTCGTTTCTGCTGGATTGTGCACAAACCTGTGACTCTCTGGGGCATGAGACGACCGTCCGACCGGAGGAATTGACTGAGAATCAGGACATCCTGAAAAAAAATTTATAAATCATCTGAAATCTTTTAATAATTGAAATAAAATTATTCTGCACTGAAATGTCAATTTCAGTAATTACCTGCCATCTGGAGAAGTTTAATTAATATAAATTAATTAATTACCGTATGTTTTATATCGACTCCAGCAGAACATAGCAGACATGCTCCAGTGCTGGCACGTTCCAGAAGATTCTTCTCCTTCGGGTCCTCCACTATTTTCCCCTCGATAATCAAAACATTTCCCTCTTTCTTCTCAACAACTGCAATAATTAATTAACAATATTTATGTAAAAGAATCAATAATAGGTCTGGAGGTTATGCTCTAGATGTTCTCCACTCACTCTCTTTAATCCTGGAGACAGGACTGACAGAAATTGTCCTCTGGGGCTGTGAAATCCGGAGACTCCGACCAAAATTCCTGATCAATCCCCTGACGAACGCCATTTCAATCAATAAATAAATTCCAAATAAATTTCTGATTGTCGTACACCTGATGTGAATTGATGCTCAGAATAAAAAATGGCGACGACGCGGGGACAGAGATTTAAATTCAGCGATGGAGAGAAAGTCCTGTGTTACGAGCCAGATCCTACGAAGGCGAAGGTCCTGTATGACTCGAAGGTAAAATGTCATTAGAATAATTGAATTAATTACGGAGGGTGATAAGGGCCTGCTGGAGAGGTCCCGGGGACTGACATCAAAATTGGCGGTTCAATCCTAACCTCGGACACTCGTAAACAATTGAAATTATTTTTCATATTCAATTATTTGATTTAATTATTGATTATTCATTATTTGGGAATAATTTCAGGTGCTGGATGTAATTGTTAATAAGGACCAGAGAGGCAGGAAAGCTGTGGAGTATCTCATCCACTTCCAGGTGAACATTCCTTTGTTGTCATGATGACGTATTGAGTGTAAACAATGGGAATTCAATAATTGATCGTGAGGATTTCAAATAATTGGCGGTTTCCATCGAAATTCTGGATAAATCTCGAAGATTTTTAAATGTCAAATTGAGTGATTAAATAGACTCAGGATTTTTTATTTAATTTTTTCAGAGAATTTTATTTGTTTTTAATGATATTGTAATATTATTATCACCCAAATATTTTTTTAACATTGAATTTTCAATTTTATCTCGCACCTCCTGCGGACTTGAAACAATAAATATTGGATCGTCTTCAAGGGTTGGAACTCCTCGTGGGACAGATGTGTAACGGAGGAGTACGTTCTGAAGGATACAGAGGAGAATCGCCAGCTGCAGCGAGATCTAGCCCAGAAGGCGCAGCTGCAGCTCGGGGCGTACCTGTACCGTCGGGAGAGAAAAAATCGTAATCACAAGCTGTCAGAGCGTTTATCAACGGGAATTGATTCCAGGAGAAGAGCAAGGAGCGGTGGGAGTCGTGCCACTTCAGGAACAACGGGATCATCGGAGGATGGCAGCTCTGGACAGCACGACGATTACGACACAGAGGAGGTAATCACCGAGGAGGACTACGAGAGCAGCTCTGATTTCGGTGAGGAGTCCTCAGAGGACGAGGACAGTGGTGGAGGTGGAAGCCATCATTCAGCCATTGATATCGATATTGGTAGCACCCTGAGGAGAATTCTCGAACAAGACTACGAGTTGATCACACACAAGCACAAACTGGCGGTTCTTCCTGCTCAGCCCACTGTCGTCAGCATCCTGGAGTCCTGGATCCAGCATTTCACCACAACACAGCTCACGAATATCCCGGAGACCAAGTCTGGAAGGGTCAAGGCCAACAATACCATCGAAAAAACTCTCAACGAGATCAATGTATCCCGGGAAGTCGCTGATGGCCTCAGAATTTATTTTGACTTCACTCTGCCCGATCTTCTACTGTACAGAGAGGAACGAGAACAATTTAATGGATTCAAATCAACTTTTCTATTTCCCGAGCATCCGGTTGTCATCAAGGAGGAAGTCATTGAGTGAGTGAATTTACTACATTTTTTTTTGTCGAATATCTCTGGGTCTTGGAGAGATAACGAAATTTTTATAATTACCTTTTTTATTGCTCTCATTCTCCCCAGGAGAAAAGATCCTGAGGGAAAATATCGTATCTTTCCTGGATTCAGAGATATGACGAGAAAACTTGAGTGAGTAAAACAATTCTGGATTAAATTTTCTGGTGATAATATTTCGAGTAATTGGAAATTAATTTATATTATTTTTTTTTTGTTATAAATTTTCTAGTACACCTGAATTAATAATTAAAGAAGAGATCGAAGACAGTGAATACGCACATCTGCCACCATTTCGAGAGCACGAAATATCGGAGAGTGATCCCCCAGGTAAACCTGTGTCCTCGGTGAAGAGGAAGCTGAGATCCTGCAGAGTGAGTTCTATGGAAGACACACGACAGCTGAGATCGTACGACGATGTAAAGCAAGAGCCAGGAAATGTCTCCAGCATCGCCAGCACGAGCTCCAGGTGTTCCAGTCCTCGGGGCTCTACCTCCAGGTATTTTTATTATTTCTCTTCGTGTCTTTATTCGATTTAAAAAAAAATTGTTGTGTCCAGGTATCCAGTGGTGCCTCCAGCACAGATTGGAGCTCTTCTTGACGAAGCCAACAAGTGGAGGCTGATGCCAGAGGCTGTCAGAAGAGGTGGTGGACCCAGTCCTGCCACCTATTTCGGAGCTGTTCATCTCGCAAGACTCTTCGTCAAACTCCCAGACCTTCTCCAAGCCACTGACATGCCCGCGAAGAAGATGAAGCTGTTGATTAAACATTTGGACATGTTCCTCAGGTATTTCCATCAATTTAATTGGCAATCCTCCATGACAAATCAATTAAAATACAATTTTAGGGGTAAATTGTTACTCATTTTTTTATAGATTCTTTTACAAAAATTATTTTATCTTATTTTAGTTATCTTGAAATGCATCCTGAGTGGTTTGGTGAACAATTCTACACGCAAATCGAGAGTCACCAGATCTCGCAGTGACGTCGAGGTCAGAGGTCGATAAATCCATCACAAAAAAACAGAAATTTAATTATGAAATTGTGTGACTGTCGAGTGTGAGAGGTCAGAGAAGGGTATGCATACATGAAATAATTATAATTCAACGATAGTTAGACGATAGTTAGTGATTTAAGAGACGAGTGAAGACTCCACAGACTCGATTGTTAAATATTTATTCGTTCACTTGCTTCTGTCATATAAATTCATTTATAGAAATTCAATTATTTGAAATTCATTGGACAAATTCAACGATTGAAGGTCATTTTAATGTTAATAACTTTGTACTCATTCGTGATAAATTCGGACAAGTGTTACCACAGTAGAGAGCGTGGACAGCCTGTCACGTTTTTATTAATCATTAATTTTAAGTTAATAAATACAACTCGAGTACCAAAATTCATAAATACTACTTGAACAATTACACCCTGATTATCATAAAAACTTGAATTAACACTCCGATTAATTCACACGACTGAATCTATAATATATTCTTTCAATTATGTAACCACTGGGCAAAATGGAGTGTTCACGATTTTTTTCGAGGATCAGAGCCTCACCCAATCGATAATTAAATGCAATTCCAATTAATTTCAAATTGATAAAAAACTAAATTAACTGAATTAAGTGACAAAAGATTGATTAATATTAAATAAATATTATTTTTAATAAACCCAAGCCATCCATTTTGCCCTCTCCCCTTTGAACAATAGATCGTGCATTCACACAATCCAAGAAAATTAACAAAAACAAAATAAATCGATTAGAAAAATATTTCAAATATTCATCTTCAAATCCCATGGATCTCTCAATTGAAAAACTTTCACCGAGAATTTCCATTGGTATTTCTCGTGTCCTCTCTCTGTCCAGTCCTGATTGGCATCCCCATAAAACTGGGTCCAACCCCATTGATAGTATTCCTGCGATTTCTCCCTGTTCTCTTGCTCTCATTGTACTTGAAGATGCCCTCACCAGGAAGTATAAGTCCCCCCTCGGTGATGGTAAACCACCACCTGTACGTGGCGAACCACGTGAGCACAGCAAGAATTCCCCCGACAAATTTTTCGATCATGGTGTGATAATACAGCATAGTGGACACGACCATGACATCCCAGAGAAGCTGCTGAAGCGTCATGACAACGAACAGAGCCCTGACATAAGGACTGAGTCCCTTGTGCGTCCTCTTGAGAAATTCTAGTTCACCATCCGTGAGTTCCTTGAGGGCACTGGCACTCCTCTCCTGGACATTTCTCGAGTGCTCCTCCTTGACAACCATATCATTGATGCCCTCCCACCCAACGAGGGCAGTCCCCTCCTCAGCGAGAATTAGACTGGAATAAATTAAAATAAATGTATGTCCAGATATATCGAAACCACTCCAGAATTTTCCAGCCTTGAGACAGTGCGTCTTCCTCTGGAGATCGATATCCTTGGTACCCAGACACCTGCCGTATGTGTTCTCGACGTGGAGAAAGAGTTTTGTCCACAGATACCAGAAGAAAGTGGCGACGACAACCCTGAGGATGTGCCTGACGACAATCGAGCGTTTTCCACAGGCTATCGTGTAGCCTGTCAGCATCACCCAGGGGATGATAACAGACAGCAGCCATCCCCATCCCCATTTAACAAAATACCTGTTGAAGATGTTGTCCGATCGTGCGAAGTACGTCTTGGGTGGTGGTGCAAGGTCGGCGATGAGGGATACGATGAAAATAGCTCCACAGTAGATTGTCACCTTGAGACGAGGATCAAAGAGGAGGGATTTCTTGCAGATGTGGAGGAGCATCGTCATCAGGATTAACCCAATTGAGCTGGGGGTTGCAGTGGGTTTTGTGCCACCTCGGTCCTCCTGGAGACCCGATGTTGGTCGAAAATTCAGGTGTGACGAGCGAAAACTACTTCCTGGGGAACCAGAGGAGTGCAGTGGTCTTCTCTTTGCTGGTGCCATCACTGGAGATACTTTTATTATTCGATTTTTTCTTGAAAGATAGCAGGAGATACTACTGAGGGCTCGAGGCCTCAGGAACACTGGGGATCATCTGGGGGATCACCTGGAGATCTTTATCCGGAGTAGCACTGAATCCTGGTGGGTCTTTCTATCACTCCACTGGTGGAAACAATGAAGCAACACTGAGGGTACAGAGTACTTGGAGGTTATACATCAATTTCTGGGCCATTCTGGAATCTGGGGAGAAATCCAAAGAGGATTGACTAAAATAGAGGCCTCGGTTCTGGGGGTTTGAGTAACCCCACCGGCATCCTAGTACCTCACCCCAAGAAAGAGAGAGCGCAACATGCTCCCCGTAAGATCATCGCGCCCTCTTTGCCCTGGAGGCTACACAAAAATTCCTGGAGTCATCCTCATTTCAAGTTCCTGACATCTACGCTAAATCCATCCTCTTCGACCGATTACTTTTTTTTTTCTCGTCACTTTTTCCTCCCATCCCCACTACTCTTTGTTCCCACAGTCTAGATGAACTGCACATCCCTGCAGTTGCATTATTTTCCCAGTGTAACGACACAAATAATCAAAATAATTACAACACACGTTAATAAAAATAAATAATGCCAGAGTGATGCGCCAGTGTGGAGCCAGTGGTGATCGGTGATTCAACGATTCTCATAGTTAAATTATAAACAACTGTAGTGACACACCTCTCGATTTCACAGGTCAAATAATTGATAGTAATTCATTTTCTCTTCATCACAATTACCCACCCCCCTCCCCACCCCGTTATAAAACAGAAATGAAATATCTCTGATGCCATGAACAATTTTATCGGGAATTAATCGAGGTGATCACCAGGAGACATTAACTGTTGTTTCAATTAATTAGTTAATCAAGCTGTGTGAAACATATTTATCATGTCCTGTGGGATATCATTAGTTCCGGTGATAGCGATTGCAGCTGGTGAGTCAGGTATTCCTCGAATGCATCGCAAATATTTTTATTCTAATGTAATTGTCAGTGAGAAATTGTCATCAAGCCCATTGAGACTGTTAATCAAACAAATAAGTCACTATTGTTTCAATTCCAGTTTCAGTGACAAGTGGAAATAATATTTAATAGTTTATCTAATTGTTTATCTCGTAATAGAGGAATAGAGAACACCCTGGAGGAATGGCTAATCTGACAGTTCAGTCATCCAGCAAAAGCAGTTCACGTGGTGCGTCACCCAGTAGGAATAATCCACCGAGTCATCAGCGTCATCCGTCAGCTAGTTTTGAATATCCAGCTAAGCCATGTAATCCCAGTGTGTGAGTGAATCACGTGATTATTTTGAGTTTTGGAATTGCTGGAATGATTTTTATGCAGGACTCAGACCGGGGAAGGCAGCACTGGAAGTGGTAGCAGCAGTGGTGGTGGTGGTATCATCAAGGGTAACAGACAGAGATCACCAGCAGCTCAGGTACGAACTGGAGACACCATGGAGGAACCTGCTCCAGGGAATGATACTGAGGATTTTTCCTCCAATGTTCATCCACCCACTGATGATGAGGGGGTGAGTTCAATTGTTCTTATAATTTTTTATACAATTAGAATATCTAGAATTATTGAATTGATGTTAATGAATATTCATTTGAGGATGGAATTTTCAGTTTTCTCAGCTTTAGATAAAATATATGCACTTCTCGATAGCTTGTTGTCGTGCAATCGTGAATAATTAGTTATTCATGAATTTATAGTTTTTTTATTGTGATTAGTTCGTGTGGAGGAATATTTTCGTGACTAATGGCTCGCAGCCATTGATTAAATCGACAGATATTTAAGTGTTTAATGAATTTTTGTAGTTTTCACTCGAGAAACATTAATGTAGAGGGCAGAATTCCCCAGGAATATAGGATTGTATATTTTCTAGGAAGAGAAATAATTTTTGGGGCCTAAAAATTTTTGGGAAAATAAATTTTCATTTAATACCGAATATTCTACTAACAGTTTGAGGTGATATTAATAGGAAACGTATCATCAGACTCAATCTTTCTTATCGAATGGCTCGTCGGAGTTGATAAGCGACGACGTGGACTCCAGTGTTTCCCGGGTGAAACAGACAATCGAGCAGATGCAGAATAAAATAACCAAGACCCGGGAGTTAATAAGGACCGAGCAGAAAACACGCGATGGTAATATTTCCAGGGATTTTGTTGAATACAACGAATTGTAATGGTAATATTTTTAGAAAATGTCAATGAATATCTCAAACTGGCGGCAAGCGCTGATAAACAGCAGTTGGCGAGGATTAAGACAGTCTTCGAGAAGAAAAATCAAAAGTCTGCCCACAATATTGCTCAACTGCAGAAGAAACTCGACAGCTACATGAAGAAATTGAGAAATTTCGAGGTGAATGGACCACAGGCGAGCCATCGGCAGCCCCGCGAGGTTCTCAGAGACATGGGCCAGGGCTTGAAGTAATTTTTCTCTTCTATCTCCCAAGATAATCAAATTAAATTCAATCCCTTCATTTCTTTTTGCTCTTTTCCATTTTAAATTTCATCATCCGACACATCATCCGATCCGAAGATGAATGGATAATTAAAAAAAAATTGTAAACTCGATTTCTGTTGTTTAATTATTTATTTGAATAATCATTTATTTCAGAAACGTGGGGGGCAACATCAGAGATGGAATCACCGGTTTTTCAGGGTGGGTAAATCATCCGCAGGATTAATTATCAATCATAATTATTATCTAATCACTGATTATTTCAGGAGTGTCATGTCGAAACCCAGAGAATTCGCCCACCTGATAAAAAATAAATTCGGCAGTGTTGATAACATCAATACACTGTCCCGTAAGTAGACACGACAATAATCGTGACTGTTTCCTCATCATTTTTTCATCTCACCCCGACTGCCTCTCATCGCAAAATCCATGTGTTAACGAATTAACTAATCGATCTGCTTAGAGAGCTGCCCAATACAGTAATAAATCCAAAAAATTAACCAGTGCTGTTTAAAAACCTCTGCATAAGAAAAAAAATATCGATATAAAATTTGAAATTCACTGCTAGACCTTGAATTTACTATTTTCCGCTGCCACGACAGTTGACAGTAGTAAGTATACAGTAAAACCTAGTCTTGCATCCATTAGACTGTAATTAGGTGAATGTTCGTGTTTTAAACTCCAAAGTCTTGACTGTTACCATGAAAAAAAAAATTGCTTATCTCAGAACAATTAATTCCCCAGTGATTTTTATTTAGTCCAAAGACATTCAGCCCCATCCCACCCCCGATTATCCAATACTAATGCTAGAAACTCTACTCGTTTGTTATGTTGTCTCGCAAGAAGCTTCATCATGGGAATGTATTAATTATATTAATTACCAGATTATGAATGAATTAGCTGATGATAGAAATGATTTAGTTGTGTGGGCTCGAGGTTCTCAAAAAGGTATTGGATAGTCCTAATAACACCGAGACATGTCTGTCATCCGCAGATGGCTCAACTTTTTATGTAAACGAACAACCACGTGCAGGTAATGGTGACAATGTTAGTGTCGAGGAGGAGAAAGCCCATCATGGATCAGCAACACTGCCTGGAGGTTGCAGTCTTGGGTCAACCCAGACACCAGGACCCATTAAATTTCCATCGGAGGAGGGTTCTGAGTGCTCGAGCGTGACAAGTGAGAGTGGACCTGGTAGCAGGGGTCAGGCACACGCCTGTCACAGCACCAATGCTGCTTTCAGCTTGAAGACGATATTCGCTGAGCTCCAGGAGCACCGGGAGAACTTCGACCGGATGCGAGAAAAATTGGATGGAATGAAGGTAATTCTCTAACATACAATAAATTTACAATATTCATCAATCGAATTAAATTTTCCAGACTCTCCAGCAAGAGGTGACGTATCTCTCCAATTCCCTCCAGGAGGAAAGATTCAGGTGTGAGCGTCTTGAGGAGCAGATAAACGATCTGACTGAGCTTCACCAGAACGAAGTGGAAAATCTCAAGCAAACGATAACAGATATGGAGGAGAAAGTGCAATACCAGAGTGAGGATCGTCTGAGGGATATTCACGAGATGCTCGAGAGTTGTCAGACTAAAATATGGAAGATGGAGCACCAGCAGCAGCAGCACCAACAATACGTCACTCTGGAGGGATTAGACAACAGTAATGCGAGAGCACTTGTCGTCAAGCTTATTAATGTTGTTCTAACTGTTCTACAAGTGATTTTATTGCTTGTTGCCACTGGCGCCGGAATAATGATGCCTTTCCTGAGGACTAGGTAATTTTTTAATGATTTATTTAATTAACACAGGGGATACTAACACCAGAGATCGTCTAATCATCACTCGATACGTATCTGTTTCATTGATTTTTCTTTTAAAAACATTTTTATTCACACATTTCATTGAAATTTTGTTTCAGCTGTACTAAGCCTCATTGTTTCATGTGCAGGGTGCGCATATTGACGACAACAATGGTCGTACTTGGCATTGTATTCGTCTTACAACAGTGGCCAGAGGTTCACGACGTTGGGAGTCACCTCATGAGACATCTCAAGCAGACACTGGCTGTCAAGTAGCACTGCAAGTTTCCATTTATCAAATGTTATTCACATCTTTAGTTTTATTTCTTTAGCTACTGCCCTTCGGTGATTATTCATCCCTCCACAGAACGATCGAACGATTTATCTCGCTGTTTGGGAGATCGATACTCTGAATTAATCGGGGTATTTTTTTTAATTTAATCAACTGTTCGATAACGATTTATCGCGGCAGTGGCGTGTGGCTAAATGTTGATACATACTTCATTAAATGAGGTTTATTGTTGCTAATTGTAATTAACGGTTCGAATCGTCGAAACTGTACGAAACATGACACGTAGTGGAAATCAAAGGCTGAAGAGTTTAAAAGACATTGAAATAAAGATATGTAAATGCCAAAATTGTTTAAACGCTATTTTGATATCGGAAATTTTGCTAATTATTAATTTCGCTCATTCACAGAATTCTTTTTCTTTTCATTTCCGCTCATAGTCGTTCACTTAGCTGTTGCACAAATTAATTATTTTTTTCTCTCTTTCTCTCTCTCTCTCTGTCAATCTCTCTTTTTTTTTATTTCATGTGAATTTTTTTTGTGTCCACCGGTGTATCGTCAAATTGCTGTGACTATTAATAAGTTTTAACACTATTAATTATAAACGATAGACTAAGAATAATTATTTGGGATCAAGGGTGGCAATTCGTTAGAGGCAATGAGGTGTCAGTTATGGAGTAGAACGAAATAATAATTTAAAAAAATGACTACATTAGATTCTAGCTCAATATCAAATTACGTTATGAACTTATTGAAATTTATTTTGTATATGTATATGGAGATTGAATGTACATAAATTTCTAAAAAAAATTCCTTCAATATCATAAATTAATTCAGCTCTCGTCTCCGATAGATAAATTTATAATTAATTTGTAAATAAATTGTTCTAGAAGTGATTTTGACGGATTAATCGATAGAATCTAGGATTGAAAAACAATTTCTAGGCTTTTTAGATGAAAATGGCTTTGTAAAAATTGATGTATTTACATAGATGACGAAATATTGAAGTTGATATACGATTTTAGCACAAAATTTTGGATAAAATTACCATGATATCAAATTTATTGGTGCTTTCTATTTGTAAGACGTTGAGTAAAAAAAAAATAAATATTAGGATTGATTCGACGAGGGGCCCCTGAACTTCCCAAAATTAAAAACAAAATTTAAACCTGTGATGGAGAATTTTTGTACTTTGTTATTGACTTTATTATTTGACGACAAATAATCCACACGATTTAATCATGTCATTTCGTTGGCAGTTTCAGGGGCCCCAGTACCCAGAGGTCATTACAGAGTCGATTAAATATTTATGATTGTCATTGATGCCTTTCTGATTAAAATGGTGATATAATTCTCCAACGAGAACGACTAAAAATTCCATCGAATTGAATGAAAATTATTGAGAATCACTCATATTCACTAATAACCCATTATTTTTTTCAGTTAACTCAATAAAATCTGCTATCATTCCTTTCAACTGTTCAATCATCGATATTAAACGAATGAATCCAACTCAGTATTTTTATTCAAAAAAATAATATCTCCAAACCCTTGAAAAACCAAATAACATATGAAGTTGCCATTTTTATTCCGGAATAATACTTGACAATACAAGTACCGATACAATAAAAATAATATGCATGAATAATCAAATAATTTACGAATAATGATATAACAAACGCTACGTTATCCCGACTTATGAATTCAGGAAGAGATTAATGAAGAGGAGATTAAATGCAACGAGAAATAAAATAAAAATCTATCACTGAATTAAGTCAATTCCCAATGACTAATCCGTCATGAGTTTCTAGGACGGTGATGGCATTTTCAATACCAATAATTTTATCCCCAGTCTGTGGTGGATGTCTCTTCCTGTGGCACATCATGGTGGACCTGGATACAAATGCCTTGCCACACACATCACACTCGTAAGGTCTTTCACCAGTGTGGAGTCTCTTGTGAATAGCCATTGGACTGAATTGTGTAAAAGTTTTACCACAAACATCACACCTGTAAGGCCTCTCCCCGGTGTGTGATCGCCTGTGACACCTGAGGGCAGCCCTCCTAGCGAATACTTTATTACAAATTTCACATTTGAAGCTCTTCTCCCCAGTGTGCATTGTCGAATGAATTTTCAAATCGACTCGCGTGAGAAATCCTTTACCACAGACTTCGCAGAGATAGGGTTTTTCACCGGTATGAATTCTCAAATGCGTATTGAGATAACTTTTGCTGACGAACATTTTATTGCACACCTCGCAGGGATACTGACGATTGTCCATCCCCGAGTGGATCTTCTGATGGCTCTTGCACAGTCCCTTGGTGATAAATCCCCTTCCACAGATTTCACAGACATAAGGCTTGACACCGAGGTGCCTGTTCTGATGATCGAGCAACGACTGTTTCGTCTTGAAATTTTGTCCGCAGGTGTTGCAGGGATAGGGCTTGAGATCGGAGTGAACCCTCTGATGAACAATGAGATAACTCTTGCACTGGAAGCCCTTGCCACAGGTTGAACAGCTGTAATCAAATTGTCCTGTGTGAGTTGCTGTGTGCTGAGCAAGACCAATTTTACTCCTGAATGCTTTATCACACAGGAGACACTGAAAAGGTTTTTCCCCGGTGTGTTTTCTCATGTGCTCCTGTAATTTATAATTAGTTCGATACTGCTTGCCACACTGGGCGCACACCTTTGGCGTCCACTTCTGTCTGACATTGTTCGGTGATTTTTTGCTCTCCTCCGTGGACAATACTGACTCCTCACTCACTTCCTGCTGGCTCTTCATTTTTTCTGATTTATTCATCGACTCCTTCCTCTTCTTCGGTTTACAGCCCTTCTCCTTGTGGCTATTTAAATCCTCAACGTTGATGAAGAGAAGACTGCAGGTGCAGGAGTAAAAATGCTGCTTGAAGTGTTCAGCAAGATTGTTGGGCTCTGTGGCAGCTTCATTGCAGAATGGACAGACGTACCAGCTCGTTCCAGTCTCATCGATGGTGGGATTATTCAAAGCTGTTCGAAGGAGATTGTGTTTCTTGTGTTTAGTGTACTCTCTGGCAGTGGAATTCTTCGAGGAATCACTGGTCGATGCTATTTCAGTTTCACTGATTGCCGTGATGTCTCCATTCGTCAACCCCTCGGACTGATCCGGGGGAAATGAATCGTCAGTTGTGACGTTTGCATCAACTGTCAATCTGTCATCCAGGTAATCACCCTTGACCTCCTGGAGATCAACGTTGCTGCAGTAGTGGACAATTTGCTCTTCATTCGGCGAATCAATGGCTGTCACGTAATTTATACCCAGATGTTCTACAACTGTCATGTCTCCCTCGAGGTGCATTGATATCTGATCACCAACTATTCCAACAGCTTCCTGAGTTATGTCACTGCTGGTCATTCGCACTGCCTCTTCCTCCAGTGGATCTATCTCTGTTATCTCCAGCTCTTCCTGGTGATGGATCTCTTCTTGGCTGACAACCTGCTCACCACCAGCCAAATCCATGTCATCCATCACCTGCATCGTGTCCATTTCAGGATCATTATCCTCTGGTGGTGAACAATCTGGCTCTATGCTGGTGATGGTGTCAGTGATGTCGACACCAATGTCAGGAATATTGTCGTCCAGTCTGTCGATCGTTGGAATCACTGGCAGTCTCTCGTTCATACTCACTACATCATTTTTAATCCCCTTCAGCATCTCCACGAAGAGGTCCTCTGTCTGTCGACACTTCTCACGAAAATCCATTATGTCGTCTAATTTGTAGGCACATTGCTCGCAGACGACCTTTGGCAGCTCGTCTGTCATCAATACCTACAGGATTTCAATAAATAAATAAATTATTTGTAATTATTCATAATAATAATTGCAATGTGATCGGAATTTAATCTAGTAGAACATTGACATTTTTTCTGGGACAAAACAAAATATTTTTTTCTTTTTTTGAAGGAGAAAATTTACTCACTCGTATCGGAAGACACTCTGTTATCTTCTTATCAATATTCCTGAGATTCTCCCCATGCTCGAATATCGGAAGTCCCACCAATATTTCAGTTTTCGTTGCACATAAACGGCAAAGGTAATCGAACTCATCGACAACAGACATTTTACGATAATCTAAATATGAATTACTCTCACAGCTGTTACTCTCCTATTATCACTAATGTTATCACTGTACCAAAATTATTGTTATTGTCTATCTGTCAATTGTTTAACGAGCCAGAATCTGAAATAATAACTCAGCATTACAGCAAATTCACTCGAGTCTTTTGAGGTTGTCAACTTATCTTTCGTTATCAATTAATTATCGATTGAGAATTGAATCTCCCGGTGGAATGTCGACGTAGGTGGAGGTCAATTTATTATTATGCATTTGTGATGTGCTGGTAGAAGAGGTGATTGTTGTTAAAAAAATTATTGATGATAAATTGGGAGAGATGTACGGACCCAAAGAGGATTGACTAAAGTAGAGGCTCATTCTGGGGGTTTGAGTGACCCCACCGGCATTGTAGTACTTCACCCCAAGGGAGAGAGAGCGCCACGCAATTCTGGGGTGTCTATCAAGTCAACGGGGTGAATTTTATGTTCTGCGGTATAAATGCTTTTTGTTTTTTATTTGTTTAACTTAAATTTAACCGACTGTTGAACGGGCGGAAGGGGGAAGCCTCATCTTGTGGAATTTCAAATGAAAAAAAATATCAATGTATTGAAGATATACCACTAATGAATTTATATTTTTAAAATGAGCGCGTTGTCTACGCGGTAACGTGCTTGCCTACCACGCGGACAGCTAGGGTTCGCTCCTAGCATCATTCATTTTTTTTTTTCAAAATAATTCCTATTTTTTCGTTTGTAAATGGCTAATCAATCGGAATATTGTTTAAAAACTGAATAGCTCCTCGCCATTCATGTTTCCCTGATACTTTTTCAAAAATTTCGAAAAATTTTAAATTTTAAATTTTAAAATTTTGAATTTTCCCGCCTTATACTCACTGTCGGTAATTCAGGTCCCTGAAATACCAACAGCGGGTAATATGGATTCCTTGTATGACGGCAAGTGGTGAAAGGATCGAGTAGTAAAGTTTCAAATAAAAAAGTATAAGTATAGAAATTGAAAAATTCGAAATTTCTGAAAAAGTATTAGGAGAACATGAGAATCGAGGAGCTATTCACTGAAATTTTCACTGAATGTGAAAAATTCGAAATTTCTGAAAAAGTATTAGGGGAACATGAGAACCGAGGAGCTATTCATTGAAATTTTCACTGAATGTGAAAAATTCGAAATTTCTGAAAAAGTATTAGGGTAACATGACAATCGAGGAGCTATTCACTGAAATTTTCACTGAATGCGAAAAATTCGAAATTTCTGAAAAAGTATTAGGGTAACATGACAATCGAGGAGCTATTCACTGAAATTTTCAGTGAATGTGAAAAATTTGAAATTTCTGAAAAAGTATTAGGGTAACATGACAATCGAGGAGCTATTCACTGAAATTTTCAGTGAATGTGAAAAATTTGAAATTTCTGAAAAAGTATTAGGGGAACATGACAATCGAGGAGCTATTCACTGAAATTTTCACCGAATGTGAAAAATTTGAAATTTATGAAAAAGTATCAGGGGAACATGACAATCGAAGAGCTATTCACTGAAATTTTCACTGATAGTGAAAAATTTAAAATTTTTGAAAGAGTATCAGGGGAAAATGAACGTCAAGGAGGTATTCAAGTTTTAAACAATATTTCGACTGATTAGCCATTTACAAAAGGAAAAATTGAAATTATTTTGAAAAAAAAAAATGAATGGTGGCGGGATCGAACCCTGGCCGTCCGCGTGGTAGGCAAGCACGTTGCCGATTAGCCAACACGTTCATTCTGAATTTATTATTTCATTAGGCGTATATATTTTGAAAAAAAATTTGTTTAAAAATGTCAAATTTGTCAATTTCACTGGATATCTTCTCTATTTTCAAAAATTCAGTTTTTAAACGATATTCCCATCGATTAGCCATTTATAAAAAATAAAAATTGGAATTATTTTGAAAAAAAAAATGAATGTCGGCTAAATTTCAATTAAACAAATAAAAAACAAAAAGCATTCATATCGCACATGGACACCCACGCATTGCGATGCCGCTGGGGTCACTCAACCCCCAGAACTGAGCCTCCACTTTTTTTTTTATATCGTCTATTTGTTTAAAATTTATTTCGTCACCAACTTCTGGTGGTTTTAATTGTTACTAGTCGGAGAAATTCAATATAACTAGGGAATCTAGGAGCGGCGTAGTCATGGCAACCTCCTGTCAAAATAAAAATCATAAACATTCAAAAAATGGAAGAAATCCCATAGGATTTACCTCAAATTATCAACAGATCAGAGACAACAAATTTAATAATTAAAAAAATGACGAATTTCGTACAGAGTATTCACATCAGAGATGGCGAGTACACAAAAACAATTTACACGATGGTATTAACAAATCAAAACAACAAACAAAAAACATCCATCAAATGTTTAACAAATTCAATCCTTTCTTTTTCAGATAAAAGAACAAAAATACGTGGAAACAATACAGATATTGTCGGAGCTGTTAGTAACTCATTCTGAGGCACGTATTTAAATATAACTAATCAATAATACTAATTGAATTGAATAGTAACAATAATAATTGCTAAATAATTGTCTTCCAGTCTCGTCCATGTCTGTCTCTCCTGGCCCACTGTTATTTCTACACGCAGGACTTCCTGGCATCAGCCGAGTGCTACGAGAAATTGATTCAACTGTGCCCCGATGAAGACACCTACAGACTCTGGTACGCGCAATCCCTGCACCAGGCATGCCTGTACCCGGAAGCCTGGACAGTCTGTTCAAGTATTGGTAACAACAGTACTCTCGAGTCTAAGGTGAAAAAACTCCAGGCAGCAATAAAATATGGGCAAGAGGATATTCTAGCTGTGAAGAGTCTGATCGACCAGTGCAACGCCGACGACGCCGACACCGAGGTCAATCTCGGTTGTTTGCTGTACAAAGAGGGAGAGTACGAGAAGGCGTTAAAGAAGTTCCTGGGTGCCCTCCAGATCACTGGGTTCAAGCCCCATTTGTCCTACAACGTTGCTCTCTGTTATTACAAATTGAAAGAGTACGCAGCGTCCTTGAAACATATCGCGGATATAATCGAGCAGGGGATACGGGAACACCCGGAGCTCAGTGTAGGAGTGATAACCGAGGGAATAGAGGTTCGAAGTGTTGGAAATACTCTCACCCTCCACGAGACAGCCCTCACAGAGGCTTTCAATCTTAAAGCAGCGATTGAATATCAGTTGCAAAATTTTGAAGCTGCGAGGGAGGCCCTCACAGACATGCCACCACGTTCTGAGGAGGAGCTTGATGCTGTCACCCTCCACAATCAGGCACTCATAAATATGGACACAAAACCAGCGGAGGGATTCGAAAAACTGCAGTTTCTACTCCAGCAAAATCCATTTCCACCAGAGACATTCGCCAATTTATTGATATTGTACTGCAAATATCAGTATTACGATCTTGCAGCTGATGTTCTTGCTGAGAATGCTGACCTGACATGGAAATACTTGACACCATATCTTTACGACTTCCTGGATGCCCTGATAACCCAGCAAACAGCTCCGGAGGAGGCGTACAGGAAGCTGGATGACCTGGCTAATAAGCACTGCGAGGCACTTCGCAAAGCAACGAAACAAGTTCAAGAAGCTAGATTAAATCATGATGAGAATGCTGTGAAAAAAGCAGTGAATGACTACGAAGAGTCTCTGGAGCGTTACGTTCCAGTGCTCATGGCGCAGGCTAAAATTTATTGGGACCTGGAGAATTACGTGCAAGTGGAAAAAATATTCCGGACAAGTGCGGACTTCTGCAACGATCACGACGTCTGGAGGCTCAATGTCGCGCATACGGTGTACATGCAGGAGAAAAAATTTGGGGATGCCACAGGATTTTACGAGCCCATCGTCAAGAAGAAATACGATAATGTGAGATTTATTTGATTGAATATAATATCTTTGTTGTTATCTTAATTAATTGAAAATTCTCCAGATACTCGACACGAGTGCTATAGTCCTGGCAAATCTCTGCGTCAGTTACATTATGACAGCGAAGAACAATGAGGCAGAGGATTTGATGAAGAAGATCGAGAAGGAAGAGGAGACTGTTGCCTTCGAGGAGCCAGACAGAAAATTATTCCATCTCTGCATTGTGAATATGGTAATCGGTACTTTGTACTGTTCAAAAGGGAATTATGAGTTTGGAATATCGAGGGTGATGAAGAGTCTCGACCCCTACAACAAGAAATTGGGGACAGACACTTGGTTTTACGCCAAGAGATGCTTTCTATCCCTCCTGGAGCAATTGGCGAAGCAACTGGTGGTCCTCAAGGACTCCATTCTCCAGGAGTGCATACAATTTCTGGAGCACTGCGAGGTTTATGGCAGAGACGTGCCAACAGTCACAGAACAGCCATTCGTCTTAAATGAATTGTCACCGATTCCCCAGGGGAAGCAGACGGTCACGTACGAGGCGAGATATCTGAAGGCGTTATTCTTAAAAATCCAGAGGTCGTAATAATTAATTGAGAGTTGTTTTACGAAAGTTCAAGCAATAGTTTAAATAAAAACAACACTCACAACAATTTTATTTACAATAAAGGTAATTTAAGAATATACAGTCTGTACCACATGAATGCAGTGAGTGCAGACAGAGTATACCAAGTGATAATGTAACTCATGTGTTCGTTTCTCATTGATATCCTAGTCTGCCCTGCAATCGGTCCCCCAGGTGTACCATCGCGTGCGATTAAATCCAGAAAAATTGGGGACGAATTGGTCAACTCTGCCATTGCATTTATATCGCGATAGACGAAGATTCCAGCATGTGGTGAATTCTTGGGGACAAACACTGGCCTCGTTTCATTCAGACGAACGATTCCAGTGAGTTCAACGACTCCAGGCACATGCCCCAGCTCTTTCGCCGGTATTTTTCCTCTTCTACCTTTAACCCAGCCACGATTAATTAAAATAGTCATGTCTCGATCGACGAGTTTGAAGGGTGTGACGATCCAGTAGCCGGTGGAGCTGGTGGTGCTCATGAGACCACCTGTCTTCTCACCAACAGCTGAACCACCGATTATGAGACTCTTGGGGCCAATCCTGATCTCTTTATCGTACAAAAATTCACCCTTTACTCTCACTGGTCGATATTCCATATTATCTAGCACCTGGGGATTTTCTGGAAAGGATATCGGATCTGATGACACCTTTTCGTGGAGATCCTTCAGCAGTTGGAGCTTCCACTCTCTTCTCTTCACCTGCCACGTGCCCAGGGCGAATGTCGAGATGGGCATTATCAGGAGGAGCCAACCAATTCCATCAATCTCTTCCTGTTGTTGTTTCTTCTCCTGGTGCTTTCGGTGTTTGTGATCGAAGGAGGTCCGGTGGTATAATATTCTCGGGGAGAAACACTCGTCGATCGTTGGACGAATTTTTGACAGGAGATTTTGACACTTGGAGCTTGTGATCAGTCTCAGAAGATTCATTGTCAATTATTATTCGGGATAATTGAACAACGACCGGTTGTTGATGTACGATTGTAGAGTACTCGGTAATTATCACATAACCTTGTGTATTTGTCGTATTTATAGTTGACGACTGAAGTTGGACGCAGGTGGAGCAGCTGTTCTGTGGAATTGCAAAGTTCATACAATTTTTTTTTCGGGAGACGTTTGTTTGGAGAAATCGGAGGAAACACAATTGTTGAATAAATATATTTCGTGGAGATGAAGATGGAAGATGCTAGGGCTAGGCTTTTACCTCTGATGAAGGAGAAGGATAAAATTGAGGCGGAATTGGCGGAGTTGAAGATAATTCTGGATAAAGTGAGTGAATGACAATTAATTCATTGATTGATGGTAATTGCAATGATTTGATTCAATTAGCAGAACGGTTTAATTGAGGTAATTGAATTTCAGAATCATGTCGGGATGGATGAGTCTCTGGTGGACTCTGAGGGCTATCCCAGGGCTGACATCGATGTCTACGAAGTGCGACACGCTAGAGTCAAGATTATCCGTCAGTTAATGTCATTCTCTCGATGTTGTTCTAGTGAATTTACTTTTATCCTCGGTTATAGGTCTCCAGAACGATCACAAGGCCATGATGCAGAGGATCGAGACTGGATTGGTTGAGATGTACTCGATGGCAAGGCAATCCCCTACGTCAACTTCATCATCCCCTCGAGTCGATCCTGTCGAGGATAATTCCACACCTGGAGAACCCTTCGTACAGGTCAATCTCGTGTCTCCAGGATCACCAGCTGCACTAGCTGTACGTTCTCTTTAAAAATTATTCCACTTTATCAATTATTTGCTTCAGTTTTGGTAAATGTACGATTTGTTTAATGGATTTTAATTTTTAGGGTCTCTGCGTCGATGATCTAGTGATCGAATTTGGATCCATCAACTCTCAGAATTTTAAATCCTTCAAGGATTTTGGGGAAGTAGTCAATCACAGTCTCAATAAATCAGTTATTGTCAAGGTCAAACGCAGAAATGATTACGTCGTTTTGACTCTGGTACCGAAACCCTGGGCGGGTAAGGGACTACTCGGGTGCCACATCGTTCCACTGGAAAATGTCGAGAGATAAATCAGAGGGAGAACCAGATAAAATTCAATTTCGATTTTAAGGAAATTGGCATGCACCCTCAAAACATCCGAGAAATATCTAGATTGGGAATTCCTTGTACTTTCATATTTTATTGTAACGAATTATTTAATTGTGGGGATTTATAATAATTAATTCAGTTTAATTTAATTGTTCTGGAAATAAATGCAACAGCGAATATTTATTGATATTGAAAATTTATTTTATCCTTTTGTTAAGGTTTTTGATTATTTCATCATCAAGATGAGGTGCATGGATTTTTATTTCATATTTTTCTAGGTTAGGGCACATGTTGATGAATCACTCCAGTCACTCTGGGTTGAGAGTAAATAAACAATAGATGGTTATAAATAAAATTAATATCATAAGTGATTCCTCTTGAATATTATTATGTGGTTGACAAAAAATGTGTTATTCAAAGGGGTAAGACAATTTTCCAGTTTTTTGCTTCTAGTAAATTTGGATTTGGATTTGGATTATTTATTTTTCCAGGTGGTCAATGGGTGCATTATAAACAAATTAAGATTCTGTCCAGTTAGAAGGTACTCCCCTCATAGGCCCTCATCAACTTTTAGTGAAGAAGAGGAGACTGTGATAATAGACACAATAAATAAATGCGAAGCCGGTGATTTCGCAAGGTTTGATATAAAGGAAGGACAGCTGAGGAGATTACTCGCACAGAGGAACAAGAATGGTGGATTCAGGGATTTCAATGACATCCTGATGACCCAGGATATACCCTCTCTGGTGAAATTCTGCAAGTCGATACTCAGGGGAGGGAAAGTCATTCGCAATTCCAAGAGTAACACCCCAAAGAGTATTGTCATCCCCCCAATTGCTGACGCAAATCGATCTGTAAGATTTTACCAAATATTTCCTCTCAATTCTCTTTCAATCTTTTAACTGTAGAAAATTCCTCGAAGTGGTACAATAATTTTTGGTTAATTGCATTGTTATTTTATAATTTCTAGGTAATTAAAACTGTTCTGGGACTTCACGTGTGGAGTGATTCGGTGAGTTGGGCCCTTTTGGAGCCTGAGGGCCAGATCACTCAGTGGGATCACGAGAAGTTTGATAATCTTTATAAAATCAATGTGGTGTCATTGGTCGATCTGATAGCAGATCTGACATTACGTCTGCCCTGTGCAGATGCCTGTGTGATGGAGGCAGATAGATACACCTCTCTAGCAAAATTAAAACCAACTGTCTACCACATGCACCTGCTGAGACAGCAGATCATCGCGATGATCATGAGTGGAATCAGAATGAAGAAATCCATAGCAGGTTAATATATCTCTCATTAATCGTCTCCTATTTTTTATTAATCTTCTCGTATTTTTATTAATTATTCTCAGGTAAAAGTCTCTCGACTACTTTTTATCTCATGCAAGCTCGATCCCCGGCAAAAATATTTAACTTGAATCTGGGGAATGAGACAGTCTCCGCAGGGAGTCTCATCCAGAAAATAATCAAAGATCACCAGGTAATGTATCTGCCACACCTCCCACCAGTTGTCATTAACCCAGGAATCGTGGAGAGATACAATTCCTATGACGCAGCTCTTCGAGAGCAGATGCACTCTGTTCTACTCCTCACCCTGGCATTTTACAATCAGATTTATGTCAAAAGTAATATCAAGGACGAATTAACGTCAACAGAATTAGTAATCTAATTAATTGCTAATACCATTATAAATAAATAGAAATAAATATAAATAAATAAATAAAGATCACCCAATGTTTCAGGTCCATTCATTTATTATAGTCAACTTTGATTACACTATCTATTTTTATTTAATATACTTATTATTAATCTCGCCTCGCCCTCGAAATAATACCCCGGAGCTCGATTGAATTCACCGCCGAATCACCGCGAATAATCTCAAAGACTCGCGTGATTCAATTAACTGATTCATTAATTAATCAGGTTGTTGTTAAGCTGTGAGCATCATATCCGAGTAGCGCCAGCTGTTCAATATTAATCAGTAATTGGCCATTACATAATTATCCATCTCCACTAAATATTTCAATTATTCTCATCGTGATTCACAGATAATCAATTTTTCACTGACATAACGAACAACTTAGGGACTAGAATAAAATAATTAATAAACAGTACGTCAATGCGACTCTAGTTTGAACGAAAAAAAAATAATTCACTGCTGTTTTTATGTTAACTTTTTGGGATATTCTCGATTGATATGAAAATTTCAAAGCTCGAGGGCAGACCAGCTGCACCGATATCTCTGAATTATAAATTTTTTATCTCCATTGATCTATTCATTCGCGTTTCAATCGTAATTAAATAAAAATTATCTTACTTGCTGTCATTGAATGATGAAGTTTGGTAAACAAAGAGAATATCCATCGATTAAAATACACCGAGTGATTATGAATTTTTAATAAAGAAAACAATATCCTTCCACCGATTATTTAAATAATTCCTTTGGACGAATACAACCACCACATTCTTGCGATATTCTATGGATTAAGTACTAGGATAATTTACCTCGTGACGAAGAAATCGAGACAATTCAATTGCAGTAAAGCAATTTTTTGTAATGGAAATTGTCTTTCTTCTCCAATTTTTAATGGAGAAAAGAGAGACTTGACACTAATAGAGTCTGATTTAACAGCAAAAGTATTTGACATCGCTCATTCAATTATGATAAATAAACTTTGAGAATTTTTATATTGAATTATTTTTTCAGAAGCCAAATTGTGCAAACGTATCGGCCGTGCCCAAAAGAATCAATAAAATTCATATTTGACTTTTACTCCATTATTTTTAGTTTATGCTTAATATTATTAACTAGTACGACTATTGTTACTGATATTATGCATACGTTTTTTTTGGCTTCCGTGAAAATAAGGTGACAATTTGTCCTTGTACATCTGCCCTGCACTTCTCTCAATTCTTCACCTGTTTATTTAATTATTTCACGTTTAGAAAATACTCACTACGATGACACATAATGCACGAGATTTATAACTCGCGCTGCTATTTATATTTTGAATTTTCTATGTTCTCCACAATGATTATTGGTTCTTACGTAATGTAACTTTGGATTTTTCGTGATTAAATTATCGAAGTGAAAATTAATGTGGAGAAGAATTCCCTGGGATCTGGTAAAGTGAGATAAATCAAGGGTTTCAGTTCTGTTGAATGAAATTTATCAGAGAACCTAATGCTTTGAGAAATAAATATCTGGAGGCCTTTGTCGTTAATGTGAACATCAATAAATAAATTTCTCAATACGTAAATCGATAGTAATCGAGATATAAGTGAAATAATAGTCTCATTTTACCAGGTCTGATGATTTGAAATGCAGAAGAAAATGTATCGATTATTTCTCGAGATTCCCCAGTGGATAATACTAGTTATTATTCTATATAAATAGATCTTGAGTCATTAAAATTTCTCACTTCATTTACTGATAACAGGGGAATACTTTCAGGACTGGGGGATTTTTTCAGGCTTTTCTCATTGGAAATTAAATACAATGCAGTGAATGCTGGGGTAAATGATCTCATTATGCTATGTACAGCACTTGCTGAGAGATTCATTGGCGAAATGATAAATGGAGTTAAGTCGAATTTTTCCATTTTCTTTTTAAAAAAAAAATCCATTAGTCATTCACTGTCATGATAAATTAATTCGACTCTTCCCATTTTACAACTTCGCAACAACATTGAAACGTCTAAATCGTTTACAATTGTCATTTTATGAATGAAAATTAAATGATCCAGGAAGAACATCGACTGTGATGATCGAAATAACGAGACACTAGAATGATTGATCAGAATAAATCTACAATGCACGTACAGGAAACCTAACATCCTGCTAGGATAAACAATTCATCAGTGAATTGATAAAATGCACCAATCGTATAACTCTTTATCACTTAATCAGTGAATAATCCCACCGACAATTATCAAATTTAAATTCCAATTACTTCAAATCCTATTAACCGTCACAACAAAATAAATAATCACTCTTAATTTATATACATCACACAAAACATTAATTCCACTATTGCTGAGATGTTCTCTTGTTCTCCATTAATATTCAACATTAGATATTTTTTTTAAATTACTTATGAAGCTCCATAATGATGATTGTACCAACGTAACAACGAGTAGAGATGGTAATCCCTTCAATAATTACTCTGGATAATTGTTCATTTCAATCTCCCTCGTTAAATCAATGGGAAATTTATCATTATTCCCCTTTCACCCAAAATAAAACGCATTACAATGAAATATTCTTACTACATAATTAAATAAATTCGTAGAACTGTAATACTTTCCAATGGGTTTACAGTCTTAGGAGGTTTTTTTTTTTTTTCATTTTTATTCGTGTGTTGAATTTTTTTAAATCAAGCGAAAGGAAAATTCTCGGTGTGCTTTCACGTACGAGATTGTACTGTCGTCTCATTTTAAATTCAGGGTACGTGTGAACGATGTGCTAAGCGTAATAAATACCCATCGATCCATTCTATGGATTATTTGGCTCTGAAATCGCTTGACATTATTTTTTTTGGGTAAATAAATCTTCAGCATGCTTTTAACGTATTATCAATCAACAAGCGGGTGATAAAGACTTTTTGTGCTTAAATATAACGTCACTATACCGTAGTTTATCTCTCAGTTATTACCGTACAGCCATGACGAGTCGAAGGGAGGGAATGATATTCATCGAATATCAGATATATCGGTTTTGCTGCCGAATATTTTTACGAGCTGATCCTCGTAGTCCTCGATATTGCGCTTCATCAGCTCCATGCAGGGCCCCAGGAGGCGCTCGAATGCCTCCACATCGAGAACTAGGAATTTCAGGGTGAAAATGATTTATTTATTGAAATGATAATTCCAAAATTCAATAACAAAGTGATCAGATTACGTGACCTGAATTTAACCTGTTGGGATTATTGATTTATCTCGAGAACTATTAATTCAAACGGGAAATGCTATAAGACATTTTTTGTAGCTCGTGAAATTTCAGAGATAAAAGGTCTTGTAATATTTTTAATCCAAGTCGCCGGTTTTCGAGATTGATCGATATTTAAATGGGGGAAAATTCGAGTTTGCACTTTGTGTACTGAATTGTTTGGGGAGAATACTCACAGGCTAATTTGACGTTTCCAACGGCGTATGCAGAGGCGGCTCGTGGTTTGTGTGTGACTAGGGCGAGCTCACCCAAGTATCCACCCGCAGGGACGCGGTTTATCTGAGGAAGGGGAAATTAATTGATTTGCTGAGTGATGGCTCGAGTTGTGACGGGTAATTAGTGGGGCATCGGTAATTTATATTTTTTCGATGGACGGAAGGAATTTTTTATATTCACCTCGACCTCACGTCCATTGTCATTGATCCTGGTGATGCTGACCACTCCATCCTCCACGAAGTACATACCATCGGCTATATCCCCTTGTCGAATAATCTGCTCACCATCGTTGAAGGGTTTCGAGACGAAGGCATCGGCGAGATTCATGCGCTCATATTTCTATCCAAATATCCCCATCGAATATTATTCAACAGTTACAATTTAAAATTCCATTGATTATTTCTCATAATTGTCACTGTTGCTCAGTTTTCTACAGATATTTCGGAATTGAGGCCACCCATCAAAATTCTCGTCACGACATTTTTTGAAGAGCCTGTCAAGCGCTACAAAAAATGTAATTACAAAAATTTCTTGATCTCCCTTATTTCCGGAGATATCCCCATCATTAGTTAATTAATAATTAAAATTTAACATCATTATCTGTTCATTGAGTTCCCCCAGGCCCGGAACCCATTATTATCCCTAATAATGAGGTTTCGAACTCAGGAAGACTCGACTCGAGGCAATTAGTGAAATCAGAACGGTCTCCATGCGTTCGAGAAATAAACAATAAAAAAAAAATGAGAGCGACAATTCACCTGAAGGGACTTCAGCATTGGTACTTTGTTGAGAAGATTCTCATACATCTTTCGCTTGTTGTACGCAGACTTGAGTATTATACGTCGAAATGTCTGGCGATCCATGGCCCAGAGGGTTCCCTGGGTGAGGGCCTTGATAGTCGCTGCCCTTGGCATATTATACAGAAGTGCCAGCTCTCCAAAAGCACCTCCATTATCATACGTATGAATAAGAGTAGGAGCCCCAGTCGGATCTTTGACGTAAACCTCAAACTTTCCCCTAAAAGCATTAAATCGATAGTTAGATTTGGCCACGGAAACCTTTACCGATAATTCACAGTACAAGTTACCTCTCGATGACGTAGAAATTATCCCCATCATCGCCCTGACGAATGATAAAGTCACCAGGCTGGACGTGCTTCTCAAACATGGCATCTAGAACGTCTGTCATTTGCTCCTGGAGATGAAAAAATAAGACTTGTACACCAGTATAAAGATCAATGCAATCGAAATATCGAATTATTGGTGAAATTGTTGAACTGCACTGGTGATTTTTTTTTTGTTACCTTATCGAGTGCACGAAATAGGAGAATATTCCTGACGCTCTCTCCCAGCCTCTGACGCTGCTCGTCACTTTTTGGATGTACCATCTGCAAGTGAATTCCATATTTCGTTATATTTCCTCTATTGAAACACGATACTCTCATTTTAGCCGATATCGGGTTGCCAGTGGTGAATGCAGAAGGTCAATCCATTGAAATCAATTGGAGGGTGTAATTAGATTGTTTAATTGTTGAATAGAATTATTATCGATCACCTAGAGGTACACGAGTAGACAGACGTTGTTTTAATGATAAATTGAATCGAGAGGAATTGAAATATCAATTTAAATGGTGGTTTAATTGTTTTATTATTCTCTCCTGTCATTGAATATTTATAATAAAATGAGTGAGAGAATGGTAAATTGAATTGAGACGAATTGATTGAATTGAAATAGCGGCTTGATGGAGCGATTATTTTCTTTTGTTGAATTTTTATAATAAATAGGGGAGGGATAGTCAACATTCACTCACCATACCATCTACAAATTACGGTTATAGGCTGGGGGTTATTGAGCATGTGGCTCTGACGTCATAAAGGCTTTTATCGCACGCATGATTGGGTAAGGCAAACCTTTTGTAATTTCTCAAAGGGGCAGGTGCAAAAACACGAGAAAATTCATTAGTCGATGAGGCACGCTCCGCTTTATCGATGAAACTACGTTGATGGGATAGTTTTTGTTATATAAATAACCGCTTATAAAAATACTATTTAATTATTAAGCTGAATTTTGCCCCCAGGAAACTAGTCTTTATTTGTCTCGAGGTGAATCTCAGGAGTCGAGGATTTTTGGAGTTTAATGTCTCGAAGATTATGAGGAATTATTTAATTACCCTGACACCCTCATCCTCTTCATCCTCCTCGGGGTTATAAGTCTCAGCGAAAACACTCTTTCGTCGAGAAGCGAATCTGCCAACCGGGGGTTCTGAAATGGAAAATTAAAAAAATATCGTGTTATGGATAATATTATTATCTGACGCTCGAGGACTCAACTGTATGACCTAGTACTTTAATGTCAAATAATACTGTAGTCTCTACGATTTTGTGAATGACTAGATTCACTACTAGCTAAATTAAGGAGATAACAGGTGCAACGTGGTATGTTCCAATTACGAGAGAAACTCGAAGGCAAAGTCACCTTTTAGTTTATTTTTATCGAGGCCACATGCTTCTACTTAGTCCAGATAAAATGCCATTTAATTTTCAAATGAATCACGACATTCTCAGAATTTTTAAACAATCAACAACGAAAACAGTCTCTTTTATTTTCCTCGAATAAATATAAAAACGAGGGAATCCCTTGAATTTAATCATTCCACTAAACTAAACTGGAATGCAATTAATTTATTCGAGGGTAATAATCAAATTAAATAATTGAGCTCATGGACATCACCATTGCTGGTGATGAGAGTCGGAGAATGAATATTAATTGTTGATTTTTTAAATTGATAATGGGGGATAAACAAACAACTTACCCTCGTCGACAGATTCGTCGGGTGTTGATGAGCAGGTGGCATTAGCTTGAATCAACATTGTCTGTCGATTTTCTCGCAGACGAGTGAAAAAATCAACGGCATAGTCAACAATATCTCCAGGCTGCTCCAGGAGATAACTAATCGTAAACTCAAGCAGTATGTCCCTGAGATCGTCGGGCACCGTGATCTTGCCAGCGTTTCTTGGGCAACTCATCGTCGCGCAACGGAGAAAATCGAAGCAGACCGACGAGAGTCAACTCGTGCGCCGAGCCTTTTTTTTTTACCGGGTCACTCTCAATATGAAGTACAATGATGGACAATTATCCACAGGAGTATTCACGTAAAGACTCCAATTATTATTTTTCCAGGACGTCAGATCCAGCGACGACACACCAGTCACTGGGATAATCTAGATTCTAGAACTTGTCACTGTTATTTATTTAGATATTGATATTCAAAATTTTTGTAATTACCACTGATGGGGGATCTCCTCCTGGGATTAATTGATCTGGTCAGTGGAGGGTTGTTCACCGATTTCACATCAATTTATTTCAACAGCTGATTATTTTATTTGGACTGTCAGTGATGTACGTTCTGTCACTGATGCGTTCAACACGAAATAGTGTCCGGAATTTATGATTTTGGTACAACACCCACGAATGTGCGGTGGCACGGGCTCTTCGGGGCTCTCTTTTTTCCACTCTTTTTTTTTCAGATATCCACCTCCTTCTCTCTTTGTGGCCCTAAAAAGATGGCGGACAGACACCCAATCGGAGAGACTCGAGCGGAAGCTAACTGTAATCGCGATTATGAGTGATAATGTTTTATCTATTTGGGGTATTGACTATCGGATACTTTCGATTTTTTATTCTGTCTAGTCACCATTTTTCACATTTTTTTCACAAAATAACGAGCATTTTTAATTGCTCCACACGACTATGTTTTACGAAAATAAAAAATCCGGGGATCTAGGGTTTTTTTTAATTTTCACAGCGCGGATTTTGAATTTGTCATATTTAAATATCACATTTTGATTTTGTTTTAGAATCCCGCTTTATTTGTATTCATGACGCACGTCATTTTGGAATTATTATCGAGGGAAAATTGAATTTTGTCGGATAATCGAAAAGCGAGGGTTTGTCAAGACTCCGGAGAGGGCGCCAGCTCTCGGGGAATTTTAAATGATGAAGTATTCGGGTTTTTGAATGATCGCACGTGAGAATTGAGGCAATTGTTTTCCACAAATTGTTTCTAGTTTGTTGTTGGAATTTTTTTGAAAATGGAAAAACCGCAGTTCGATGTGGCACTCGGGGGAAGTGTCAGTATTCCCCATAATGTGGAGATTAGGAAGTTAATTACTGCGAGGGCCAGCGAAATGTCAGCGATGCTTCATTCCATCGGTCAGTTTAACCTCTTCCTCTGCATAAAAACAATAATAAACAAATTGTTTATAAATTTATCTCCAGATTACCCCTGAGTTTTTGAATCAATCCGAAGAAAAAATGATTTTCAATTCCCCAGAGAATCCCCAACGGACGAAACTGGTCTTCCAGAAGCTCCCGGTGCACATGCGACGTCGTGTGATGTCCCACAACGCAAAGAGAATGCCCAGAAGACTCCGTGAGGCCCATCAGATGCAAATGGAGAAGTCTGGACTGCCTCCGAGGAGTAAAAGGCCCTCCAGGAAGTACAGGAGACGCGCCCAGAATCTCCTCCTGGAGTACAATCGACGTAAACGCAGCAAAAGATGGCTGGAGACTCATATTTGGCACGCGAAACGCTTTCACATGTGTGAAAAATGGGGATACAAAATAGCTAATTTCTCCAACGACAGAGGATTCCGAGCTAGTTATCGAGCTGTTGCGAGACACTGCATGATGCAGGATATTTCCTACTACAGTTGCATCGAGTTGATCGGTCCTGAGGGGACTTTAATTGATAAATTAAAAATTCATTCGAAGGAACAGCTGTCGTTCGGGGCCAGGATGTACCTAGAGGGGTCCAGGGAGGGCTCTCTGATCTTCTACAAGAGGAATAATTCCCCTGTGGGAGTTGTCACTTTCTTCTGGAGGCCCAGGGGACAGGGAATCGTCAGGAGTCTCTGGATTTGGGTGCATCCTGCATTGTTTGATGAGATTCTACCTGAAATTCTATCGACATTTGGATTTACTCCAGGAGAGGGACTGGAGTCCTTCGAATCGGAAGAGTCTGGCTGCAGGATCAACTCACTGAGGAATTCCTTCAACAGATTCAGGCTTCGGGGACCCCTCAGCGTTGCTGTCCTCTCGGACACCCTGAAACTCCCTCAATCCCCAGGTCATGCCCTCGGGGACAAAGTCCCCTGGAACAGTCTCTGGTACCAAGAACCCAGGAATGAGAATTGTTTTGGGGACCAGCGGGAGTTCTTCGGTGGAATTAAAACACTGAATTCTCCTGGGCAAATGCCCAGGGCCTCGGTGGTGGCTCTCACTGTGATTGATCCACGATTTTTTCTCCCTGAAAAGAGAAAAAAAGCTGTGCTGACTCAGGATGACTGGAGAAAGGTCCTCCAGGTCCCTGAGGGAGTGTCTGATAGTCCTCTGTGGGATTCTCAGGTCAGGGAGAGACTGAAGGCTGAATTCGTGTCGAATAATGAGATTAACAAGTTTAGAGCGGAGAATGCTGTGCCTGGGGTGCAGAATGATTCGGAGTTTGATCAGGGGATCATGGCGAAGGTGCCGGTTATTCTTGTACAGTCTCCTGGGAGCAGTGAAGCGGAGAAGAGCATAGGTTTCTCTTCTGGTTTAGATATTATCCTGCCATCTCCTTGGGGTCTGCCCTTCTGGATCGCTTTCATGTATCGCTGTGCACGACCTATAGGCCTCCGAGAGTACCAATCAGTCATCTTCGAGAATCTCTCGCTAAATTCACCTGAAGTGCATCATCCTGATACCTCAGCCTACTCCAAGGAGGCGCTGGAGACGAAAAATCAGATGACTGAGGCGTATTTCCGACGTCCACCCAACAAACGTATTAATTTCACAAAATTTTCGATATCGAGTCCTTTTTTCTGCGAGTGGAATATTCTGGTGAAGGAGTGGACGAATGGAGATGATGTGAGGGTCCTGAGGACTCCAGCGGTTCTCCAGGCACTGGGCTCAGCCCTGGAGGGTTTCTCAGAGGGTCATCGGCGCCAGAGGAGGAAAATCCCGTCGTCCAGGGATTCAGTGAACCTCTCAGACGCATCCCTCGATCAATCCCTCCTTGTTCCCATCAGGATAAAAATCCTGGGGAGGGGAAGACCCAAGAAATTCGCCGTCGTCTGCACTCCAACTGACGACGATCTCACCTCCAGGGTACCTGTCCAGGCCCTCAAGCCTGATCCTCTCCAGAGGAAACGAAAAATCCTGATGAAAAACCACAAGAAAGCCCTTGCGAGGGCCATGAGACAGCGGTCCAGGGCGAGAAAGGAAAAGAGACCGGAGAATCCTAGAGTCGATATTCAAAAACACTCGGAAGTCATGAGGAAGATGTACCTCCCCGAGTGCAAGGCAGTTCGACAATCCTGCGATCGAGAGGTCATGGGGTACCTCGTCCAGGGTGATTTCTGTTTCACAGAGTCCACGGGACTGGGCTGGGGATACGTCGTCCTCAAGTCTCTCATCAATCTCATCACACGAAAGACTAATTTAGTTTTAGTGAGAAATGTACAGAGTAGACAATACAGAAAAGCCAGAATCGATATAATTAAATAATTAAATCCGGATAATTACCAAAAATTTAAAATCATTGAAAATTGGAATAAATCAATTTATTATTCATCAATTATTGTCAACAATCAATCGATTTTCGCTCTCGATCCTGGACCCTGGGGTTCTAAAAAAAATTCAACGGCCTAGGGAGTTTATCTGTCACTTCAAAAAATTCCCCCAGGCCCCACACTAAAATTAATTAATCAACGATTAATTGTAAATAAAAAAATAATCCTAGCCCACCATTAAATTATCGAAAATAATTTTTAAACAACTAGAATCGCCTCTGAAAAACTAAAAATACGAAACTGTAGTGAGCACTTCCTGTAGAAGAGGGTGTAATCCCACTGCTGCCAATCCTCACAACTAGCTGTAGCTGTCAGTAGATTTTTTTATTTACACTCTCCCCTAACAACTCCCAAATAATAATAATCCACCGGTTTAAATCACCCGATCGCGCAACTCCTCTTCCTCGAGAACTGACTGCACCCTGGACCGGAATATTTCCCCTGAAAGCACTTACATTAAAAAAAAAAATCCTGCTCATAACCTGATAACCTATCAACACAAAATAAATCATGAAGTTGCTCAATAATAAGAGAATCCTCTCGCGATAGTCATCCTCATGCCCCAGGATAACATCATTGATAAAATATCTAATCATGTCCTTCATCAACCTCATCCTCAACAGTGCACTCCTCTGGATGTACACCGAGACCACCTGGTACGTCATCATCACCACTATTTTGTATTTTTCCCTTCCCTGGTTATTCTGGGGCACCCTGGGGATTCTCGTTGCCCTGTGGTTCATTAAAAATCAACCAGTGGATGAGAAAACAGTCAATCAAGTACTAGGTGTCGATCCTTTTAATTGTGAGGATGGTCCTGGTCATGGGGGAGAGTATTGCATGCGAGTAGTGGCACATCGAGGTGGAGGATACGATTACCCGGAGAACAGCCTCTCAGCTTTTCGTAATGTAATTAATTAATCGTAGATTAATTCAATAACGACATAATCTAAGATAAACTGAATATTCGTAATCATGAGTTTATCTGATAACCAATGATTCTACGAGAAAATAGAAGAGGATCTTTTTTCCTGGAAATATAATAATCCACAAAAAATTCCTCTAACATTTTTACCTTGAATCAACGATTCTCGAGATAATTGATAATTAAGATAATTATCATCAATTTATTTGGGTTTATTACTTCACCAGTGAAGAAATTAAAAATATTAACACCTCGATTCAGCAGTGAAGTCCCAGCTCGATTATTATCTCGTCGATTAATTTATCTCTCGTAGATGGAGAGATGTTTAGAGATATTTAGAGATTATCAGAGATTATCAGAGATATCGAGCGCTTCGCTGTTGAATTTATTCCATCGAATTAACGAAATTAATTTTGATAAATACCAGAGCAAAGAGAAGGGCTGCAGCGCTGTGGAGTTCGACCTGGCGTTCACCAAAGATCACATTCCAATAATATTCCATGATGAAACTGTGGAGAGACTCACTGGGAGGCCGGGGGTTGTCAAGGAGATGACGTGGGACGAGTTGAATAAACTCGATATCTCGTTCAATCATCCTCTGAAGTAAATAAACCGAATATATTTTTAAAATTAATTCAATCTCTCATTCATCGGCGACGACTTTAATGACCAACTTCGATTGATGCACCGGTTTCAGGGAAAAATTTAATGGAGGCGAGAGGATAGCTCTCTTCAGCGATACAATCGAGCAGTGTCTGAGCCACGATCTCAGGGTTTTCATCGACATCAAGGAGACGAGTCTCGATATTGTCCCCGTGGTATTGGATGCCTACCAGAGGCATCCTGAATTATACAAAAAGGCCGTCGTCACTAGTTTCCATCCACTAGTCATCTACATGGTACTAATTACCAAAAACAATTGAATAATTAATTTATCAGTGGAATTTGATATTTTTTTAATGAAAATTTGTCTTCCAGATAAGGAGAAGAGATCCAAACGTCATGGGGAGCCTCTCCTACAGGCCGAAGATCTTCTCGACGATATCCTACGAAGGATTGACTGATTCGGGACCCCCGAGATATTCAAATCCAATCAGACACTCGGTAGCTAGACTCCTGGATACATTGAACGACTGGGCATTGACAAGATTCACTCATTACGTCATTGGAATTTCCGTCATTTTATTGCATAAAGACATCATAAGTCCGTGAGTATGAGGTGAAATGATAAATCGATTGATTTATTATGAGTAATTAATATTGCAGAAGAACAATTGGGGAGTGGCGGAACAGAGGAATTCGAGTGATCGCCTGGAGTGTTAATTTGCCCTCGGAGAAGCTCCACTTCTCAAAAATCCTGAAAATCGCGTATTTGACTGACACACTCCTCGCCGAGAGACTCCCCTGATAACGAAACAATCGTATTTTCGTGTTTAAACAATTAATAAAAAATGACAAGGGCACATTTTATATAATCGCAGTATTACAAGTACCTAATGACAATTGGAATATCTAGTCTTAAGCGATTCCATTATTTGATTTAAAGATATATGTTTTATTTACAAAGAAATGTATTTGTCCATGGCAACTGATGTTTCCAGTTTTTATTTAGAGTTTCATCTTTATTTTTAGCCCAACGAGAATAAACGGAAATCACAAGTAGACGCGAGCATTTCATTTCCTTTTTCATCGAAATACCCCAGGAAAATTTTAAAAATAATTACTATTTCCCCCTCTTTGTGGACTTGTCAGACCCACCCACTGATTCTTTTGAGAGAGAAAAAAATGTGAGTGAAAACGTCGGAGATATCCTCGTTGAGCAGTTCAGTGGCTCCAAGGCCTGCATTGAGACACGTTTTATCGTCTTGGAAAAGCCGAACAGTACTCGTGTATTTTCGTGTACAGTATACTCACGAGTGAACAAACATCAACTGTATAGTACGTTAGTAACTGTTAGTCATATCATATGGAAATAATCCTCCACTCGTTGAAAAGAAGCCACACTAATTTTATTATTAAATATTTGTCAATAAGGAATGAGAACGGCAATGGAAATTATTTCCCGATGAAACCGGAAGTCGTTGTTGAGGAATTAGTGAAAGTTGTCACCCCAAATTTTTCGTCACAGCGATGAAAAAAAAAGAAAATAATGGGAACAGTCTGGAGTGAATTGGGAAAAATATTCTCGAGGTCGAGTAGAAACCGACACTCAAAGGCCATTTTAAAATAAATCCAGTGGTACGTAGAAATGAAAATTCACCATTTTCGGAGAGTCTAATTGAGATCTTAATTTTAGATAATTGATAAAGAGATAAAAATGGAGAAGTGGAGGAGTAAGAGTTTAAAAGCGGACGTGGATTATCCGAAGAATTACAGGAATGCGAGATCGGTATCCCCGGAGAAGAAATCGGAGAAGAAACCGGAGAAGAAACAGCGAAAGTGGAGATTTGGAAATTTTTTGAAACGCAAATCAAAAGAGCCCGCGCGAATTCCAGACACAGCGACGGAGACGACGCAGACAGTTCCATCGACGGATATGATGGACAACGGGATCTACGCCGTGATAAATCACCGGCCAGAGGAATTAAAAAATCCTGGGATTCCCCGGAGTGTCTCTCAGGAGTCGATGGGCAGTCGGTCGACGGAGACACCAGGTCGATCTGTCAGAAAAAATCGAGTTAAACAGCGGATCCAGGCGAAACGGGATAAATACAAAACGACGAGCAGCTCCGACGAGGATTTCCCCTCGAGTTTATCCCTGCGAATTCACAGCGAGGACAGCCTCCAGGGCTCGAGGTCGGACTCATTCAACCAGAAGAGAACGCGGGGTGCGCGAACCGAGAGATACATGAAGCGATTATTTACGAATGGGGATCAGAGCTCGATAAAACACCAGAAATGCCCCTCGGATATTCTGCCACCGTCAGGATCACCTCCGGACCCTAGAACCCTGAGGATGACGTTCGGGAGTGACTGCCACCTCTCGAATCTTCCTTACAATAAATTAAATAAATTCAACAGATGGACAGACTCAAATAAATCAAACAACTACGACTCGCTGGATGTAAAACCCCCAGAGCCACCCCCCAGGTCATTTAAACTGAAGCTCTACCCCTCGACGATGAGATACTCCCTCCAGCACTCGGATATCGAGAATAATCACTGTGAGATGATTAAATCGAATTACAACACCAATTCCCTGGACAGGGAATACACACCTCGTGGAAGAATCGAAAGGACAAGTCCGGTATCTCCTCAGGGGATAGTCTGGTCACGAAAAATTGAAGAGCCAATAATACCCCACCTGCAGCCACGCGTCGTCTCCATGAATGCGAGAAATCTCGATGAACGGAGGCGTCACTCCAAGAACCTGGAGGAGGCCCTGGAGGAATTGGAGACGATCTACAATAGCCTTCGGTTGAGTGATGAGGACCTCCTGGACAGGGCAGAGCAGAGGAGCATGGAGGAGTACCGGGATAAAGTGGGTACGGTCGAGGGATCGGTTATTTCGGATACCTCCTCCTCGGAGATGACGCGATACCTCCGGGAGGCGAGCGATTGCCGATTGAGGGATGATATGGCGTACAGGCGGATGCACCAGAAGGAGAGGCCGACGTCTGTGGATAATTTCGGGTCACTCTCGAGGATGAGTTACTTGAGGGCCTCACCGTGTCTCTCTGTCAAGGACGAAGACTCCAGGCAACCGAGGAGTCGACGGGGAACTCCGGATTTAACTCGTGACGACGTCGTCTTCAGGAGTATAAATCATGCGAATAATACTCTCAGGATTGCCGATCCCCAGCCGCCTTTTGGCATTCCCCTGGGGCCTGTCTCTGGCGCTGCTGATAGCGACTACCTCCACGTGATCCCTTCTAAGGATGCCAACAGGTCATCCTACATCCCCCGGAGAGAACCCGACGTCGTCACCGATGATCTCGCCTTCAGGAGCCTCCGCAAGGACGAGAGAAGATCCCAATCACCAAATTTTATTCCCAAAAATTTTGCAGAAATCAAGAGGGTCCAGTCTCTATCCGCCGACCTCTATGGGGTCATCAACAGGGACAGCAAACAGAGCTGTTGGTACCGGAAGTACGTCAGACTGAATCGACCATTGCGTGTCTCGGGGATAATCGAGGCGCGACAGGATGTCGACATCAATGGAAATAAACCAAAAAATACCAAGGGACGAGTGCAGGTGAATATCCCCCAGGAGTCAGAGGGTAGCGAGAGGAGTGACAGGAAATCTGTGGAATTGGAAATTAAGGAGAAATGTGGAGAGGTCATTCCGTCTTTCACTGAGAAGGAAGTGTCGGAGTATAAGGAATTGTGTCGAGAGCTGGAGAGTCTCATCAGGAAAACGTCGGAGAGGGTTCAAATCCGGGATCAGGAGACGAGGAGAAATTCCCTCGTGGAGTTCCAGGAGTGGGAGGAACTACTGGAGGGAAATAATGGGGGGAATCCCGGGGGAGGCTCTGTGAAGGATGATAATGGGGATAATGAAAATAATTATGATGATGATTCATTAAATAAGAGTCTGATTGATGAGAATGAGGGCTTTAGATGCCAGGAGGAAGCTGGTGAAAACGGTGGAGATGATTTACCAGAGGATTTACCAGAGAATTTACCAGAGAATTTACCAGAGGATGTACCCAACGAACAAAAGGAACCTGATGTACCCAGTGGTGGATCAATCCTGGCAGGTAGTAGTGACCAATGTGAGGAAGATGGCAGCTCCGACGATAAATCCAATATAAAAATCGAATCTCCTGATAATTCGAATGACACAGGTGCCTGTGATGATATAATTCAATTAGCTTCCAAAGATAATAAATTGAACGATGGAATTGGTCTGGCCTCGATGATCGAAGGTGAGATAATGGGTAAATCCAAATCAAATGGACACCTGAGATCAATAATAAATGTTTGCTTCGTTACTAACTGCTTGACAGCGTCCATTGCCTTGTGGTCCCTGTGTCTAACACTGCTAATAGCAATTATAGTTGCACTGTGAAAAATCATTCGCCAAAATTATCCATTTGTTTATTTAAATCGATAATTTATTAGTAAGGATTGCCGTTTGCCTCTGCAGTGTTAATGCAACTTGTTGCTGTTTACTATTATATATTATATATTGTTATTGAATTGTAAATAATGTCACAGGTCGTGAAACTGCTCTATGATGGGTTGGCGTCGTTGAGCGATGCACGGTATCAACGTTCAATTTATTTTTAAATAAATTATTATTTTTTATTCCTGTTGATAATTGATTATTCAACTGCAACGGACTGTTGGTATATTCATTGTTAAATGAGATTTATAATAAATATATTAAAGCCATATTTACTTACCTATTTAATTTCGGCGGTTTGTGGGAGTGGGGGTGCAATGATTATTAACAATTACCCGTGGAAATAATTTTGAATGAACTTAACAGTAATTAAACAATTTGTCACGTGACAGTGAGGGTTTTTATTACATGGACTGACTCCTGACGTCATAAAAACTCTGTGGCCCATCTTCAATTTCTTCTTTATGTACAGCGATAAATATATCGTTATTTGGTCTAGGTATATGATATTGATGTCCACATCGAAGGGCCCAATCTGTCAATTCCAATTTCCCCCGATTTGCACAGAATTTTCAAATTTATCTCTACGATTCAATTGAATATATCCAACAGAGTGGATCCTCCCCTGTGGCCATTCACGTATATAAACTATATATACATATATAATTTGACAATCGATGTCAAAGGACTGGATGCAACGGCGGGTGTCTTCAGTATTTAATTTTTTTTTTTTTTTTTACAAGTGACATTTGTTCTTTCATTGGGGAATTTAGAGCAGTTCGCATGACATCGACTGACATCAGAGAGAAAGAGAGAGAGAGATTCATTGACGAGTCGAATAATTCACTAAATTGTCGAATGACGTCAAAAAGCCGTCAGCCCAATTTGCTCGTTACAATTCATTTTTTGAATTATTTTTTTTCCATTCATTTACTAGATTACACCTTCCCCTTCCGATACGTACAAATATCACTAATTCATCTATGTGGTACCTAATTAATTACAATTACATTTATGTTCATATTTATATTTTTAGTATTTATATGCAATTTTTTATCATCCTCTCGGATTGGATCTCTTTTGATTTTTAATTATCGAGTACAAGTTATTTATTGAGAGAATGACGATGTTATGTATAATGGAAATTCGATGAATCATTAATTTTTTTTTGTCTTGGTATGGACAAATAAACGACAGTAATTGTCAATTTTTACCTTTTTTTTCATTCATTAAAACATTGATAATACATTTTGTTCATTTGTTCAATTAATTAGTATAAAAACGTGTTTCATTTCCTCATTATCAATTAATAAACATACAATATAACTTGAATTACTTAAGTACATTAGAGTATTTATTTAAATGGTATCTCTGCCAATTGTTGATTTATCAATTTAATTGGATTCAATTGGATATCTATTTTAAATATTTATTCAATCATCAAGTATACCGTAGTCCAGTTAAGTTATTCGGAAGTGAAAGTGGTATCGATGAAAAAATAATAAATGTAACATCTGTTTATCTGAGGTTGAGATTGGAAGGACATTGTTTAACTCTTGTTTAATTAATTTCATTATTTTTTTTTCTCATTTTTCATCATTTTATTGTACGTTTAATATACTGTTCTGTTCGGTGTAAAAATATAAAACATTTTGTTATTATTTCAATATACTGTTTGCTCTATTTGGATATTACGGTATATCTTTGATCACTTTTATTTGAATTATTTATTTTGTATTAATTTTTTTTGTTCCTGCCACCCGGTGCGTCAGGGCCGGAACAATTGTCCTGCAAATTAAACTTTTTTTTCATTATCATTCATTGTTTATTGATATTTACCCCCAAAATTTATCCAGACAATTCGCAAATGTCGACGACGCTGAGGCGTGCGATTAATAACATTTATAATTAATCCACGAAATTGTTTAATGAATTTTAAAGACAGACGGTCATCTGTTTATTTAAACAAATCCAATTAAAGATGTTTATCCTATTTCAATTTTTAAATGAGATTTTTGTTAAACGTTAATTTAATTTATAATATCATTTTCAAAATGAAAATAATGAAAAAAAATTGAGTGGACGTAAAAATTTTTTTAATTATGAATGTTAATTATAGTAAAGGTTGAAAAATAATGGGTGAACATCCTTAATAGATTAAATAGATTAAATGGCATTAACGATCGGAGACGCATTAAAAATAAAAATTTGACCGTCTGGTTAATGCGGTGAATATCTCTGAATTTATTATTCCTTTTCACATTCTGGCTCGCACGTTCCTCAACCACATGGAAGGGGAGACGTTCCTTACGAAAGAGCCAGGGAACGCAAAAACGGTCAGACTCCGATTCGAAGGTCACCCTAAACATTGGCGTAGATTCGCATCGTCTGGGTGGATGCACCAAAAATTTCCGTGTAGATGCACAAAATGAAAAAAACCCAAAATTTGCCAACTAGTGGAATTATAGGACAACGGGAGGAGGAGAATTGAATGGAGCGGCACCGAGAGTAGTTGCCCTCAAAGAAAAACAAAGTTGTGCGAGGAAGTACCTGGACACCTAAAAAGAAAAGCTCACCCTCGGCTGCCTTGAACCCTGGGAGTGGAGTAGTAGGCCAAGTGGAAGGAACTTCCGTGGAATCTTTTATTTCGTTCAGAGTCGACTAAACTCCATTTCTTCCCTTTTTCCACTTTGTTTTTCTTGTTTATTCATTTTTGTATTTCATTTTCTCCGACGCACCTCGCGGTGCCTGAGTCTGGAAAATAAAAATTCGAGAATGGAGGGAGAAATGAAAAAAAAAAAACATTGAAGAAAATAAATAAACGGCCACTGCAAAAGGGGAAAAAAAAATATCCACCGGGTACAATCCGAGTGCACGAACGAGGGGTTCGCCTGGTTTATAACCCGACTCAAGTCTCCAGCCAACGTCTCGGAGATTCGTTTTGTGATTTCGTTTTTTTTTTCTCCTTTTTTTTCTCCATTTGCTCCTCTCTTTTTTCTTCTCCGACCGATCTCGCGCGTTTTTACTGCATACAGACTGAAACCGACGGGAGAAAATCGGTTCTCAACCACCTGATGCCGTTCTCCACCGGGTATTTATCATGGAGATCGATAATAATCGATAATTATCGAATTAGAAAGAGGGAGGTACAATCCGGGGATGAAAAATCGGCATGAATTCAGAGGGAAATCGGTTCACTAATCAGGACTCGATTTTCCTCTGAGTATTTCCCCTGGAACTCGATAATAATCGAATTGGAAAGAAGGGGGTAAATTCGGGGGATGAAAAATCGGTACCGAGGGGTCGTAATCGAAGAATTCCGAGGGAAATCGGTTCTCAAATCACACGAATCGATTTTCCTCCGACTATTTGTCGTACAACTCCATAATAATCGAGAATAATAAAATAGGGGGGTCAAATTTGGGGTGAAAAATCGGTATAAGGGATTGATAATTGGTGAATCCACTGATAAATCGTTAAAATCGCGGAAACGATCGGCAAAGGTGAGAGACTGACTCGGGGGCCCGATAAATCGTTGGTACCCCCCATAATTTCCATTTAAAACCTCGAAAATAGTTTTGCCTTGCAGTTGATGGAATTGAGATCCTCTGCACGAAACCGAGACATGCCGGCTCAAGGCCACACGGACCCACTCCCCCGCCAACCGCAAGAGTCGGAATCAAGGGCGTTCTCCCTACCCTGGGGTACAGCCGGGAGTCCCGTCTCGTTGCCCCCACCCGTGCGAAAAACTTAAAAAAAAAAGGCAAAAGGTTGTGGACCGGGGGGCCCAGGCGTGGGACCCCGAGAAATCCTCCCCAGGAGTCGTTAAAAATTTTTCATATCACTGCGATTTTTACCCTCCTCTTGAGGCACTGGGGGACCGCGGGACCAGGGGACCAGGGGACCGGGGGGCTGAGGGGCTGGGGGGCTGAGGGCCCCTTTCATTTCCGTCATTTTTCGATCAGCTATTTATTCAGCACCGCCAATTGGACTAAATCACTCCAGCCATTTGCTGGAGAAGATAAAGATGGGGACGCTGAAACCGCTAAACCGCATTCCTCATGCTCATTCGATCATGGATAACCGTCAAATTATGTGTGCACACGAGTATTTTTTTCATCTGCTCTATTTTTAATATCAAGATCTCCGCAGATGCTGCACAAACTGGAACAGACGGTTTTAATTTCATAATTTTTTTCACAACGAATCGCGAGATTCGCGAAAATCGGCTGTCACAATTTAAAAAAATCGCAGAGTGTTTCTGAATAAAGGAGATTCCACCGATTTCATTCCACCGATTTCGAATAATCGGCGGTGAGTGGTAATTATTTAAGAAGAACACGGGAATACTGTTTGCCCGATGCGATAAAAATTAACGATCGTTGTACATAATTTTAAATGGATTCATTTGGTCATGATTTTGCGCTGGTTTTGATTTTTTTTTTCTCTTTCAATTTGAAAAAAAATCCAGGTGGTTGGCAGATTGTGCGGAGAATGTCCTGTCCATGTGATAGGGGTCCCAGTGTATTGGTTGAGAAACCGAAAGTGCGATCACGCGAAAATCTAACATGTATTGCCGTCTAACCGGTCTGACGGGATCGGTGAGGGCAACACAACTCCCAGCGACGGCCCCTCAACAACCTCTTCCCCTGGAAACGAACTAGGGCTCCACTAATTTTCGTTAACAAAATCGCACAAAGAAAGTCTGCCCCTCCGCCCCCTAAAAAAAAAAAAAAATCGGCGAAAAACCGCGAAAACCGCGAAACCCGCGAAACCCGCGAAACCCGCGATTCCCTCACGCCAAGAAAAATGGCAATTACCGATTTCCTCTAGATTATTCCAATAAATTCCATTTCCCTCTAGATAAAATGATTAAAATCCCAGACTCGATTGACGCGTCAATTTTTTTATCCGATTCTCGATTGATTTATCGATCGGTAAGTTTAATGAGAGTATAAAACCCGTAATTTATTAATACGCATTTCCCCCTGATGTCGTACACCGATTTTCTCTGGATAAAAGCTCTAATTGAAAGTGCACGATTAAGCTCTCCAGCAAGTGGTAAAATTACGGTGAAATTACGGACGCAGCATCCCGTCGCTCCGAGATTCGATCGTAAAACATTCTTAGCGGAAAATAATCTACATTTCGATATCATCAACTTAATCTAGTATTGAGCATTATCAAGCTGCATCCACCCGACCCTTTATTCCCCCTAAAAATAAAAACATAAAAAAAGCACCTGACAACGGGCGCAAGCGAATAAAGTAAAAATAAAAACTAAAATTGATGAATATGATGAATATCAACGGAAAATCCGTAAAATCCTCCCGGCACTCGATCAAAATGGTAAATAATAAGAACAAAACTAACTTCAATTATTTAATAAATGCAGGGAGTATGAACAAATGAACTCTACAATATTTGTTGATCCTCCAAAAATACAAAATAGTTTTCCAAGAATAATCGTTATAGAATATAATATACTATAATAATATTGAAAAGAGAAAGAAAAACTTCAGTATAAAACGAACCAATGCACTCTCTCAATGAAAAATATCTCAAAAACTTAATAATAATATAATATTAATGAAAGAAACGTATAGTACGATGATATTGATAATAAAACAATGTATTATCTACAGTACTATCTTGACATTACCTGACATAGGCCATAAACAAAAAATAATAATCAAGTCTTACAAACTGACTTATTGGCAAGAGTCATGAATCGCACACGAGGACGTCTTTAGAAAATCAAATTTAATAATTATATTTAATTTAAAAAAATGAAAGACTAATCGAGGAAAGCTGATATCCGAATAAATAAAAAACCCAGTGAAATAAGTACTATTTGGTGTGAGTGTTTGTCGTGCTTGGGCGAGACTTCCTTGGCCATATTTTCAGTGTGTAAAATAATCATTAAAACAATAATGTTAAATAAAAAGTCTATTGTGCTGAAACTGATCTTGCACACTTACATAAATCCCTGATGTTCTAAGATAAACAGTGGCAGTTTTGTTTAAAACTATTGATGACATGTGAAAACTGTCTGCTATTCAAAGTCACGGTATGTGAACGGAAGAGAGTATGTAATATATGAAAAATTCACATAGGTATCAGTATTTATCTTGACGTATAACTCGAGTTACAGAAATGATTTGAAAAAAAAAAAAAGAAAAAAGAGAGAGAGAAGAAGAAAGAAAATCAAAGAAACAAGGTAATGGCATTATTGCATCGAATGATATATATCTATATTTATATTTAATATATCAATTTATGTATACATATGGGTATGTAAAAATGTTCAACGTGGCTTGCAGCATCTGTACGCAGTGACTCGCTAAATCGCGGTATAAATACTATTTTCTTTGATGTTTTATGGTGAAAAATAATAACGTAACAACAACGACAAATAATTCATTCCTATAACAGCTAATGTTGATTGCAATTGACTGATGAATAGTCATTTTTCACCATACTCGGTTAATTTAATGCTCTCGAGAAAAGATATCACTCGTGGATTTATCAGTTGACGGAAATAACCGCACCTGCCCCAGCAGCATTCACCAACAATTGCGAATTTTATTTACGAGGCTCTCATTACCGGTTTACTACTCTCGTCTAGTCCCTAAAAGAGAAGAAAAAAAAATAAAGAGTAGAACGGAGGAGCTGGAAGGAGGACGTTGCCACGATGAAAAATTTTATATTCAAAACCACTCGTGACATTAATAACACGACGCTGCATTACTTTTCTTTTTAAATATTAAAATCTGTAGAGTCGTTTATCATAAGTTATCATCATTAAAAATTTGTCCCCATTATTTACGTATTTGAAATTTGTTCGAGCTCGTTAAATCCACCCAAATCACCCTTAAATAAATAATCCACACGTGCACCGAATATACAACGAGAATTCAAAATAAATACAAATGCCAAAATAAAAACAAAAAAAGAAAAAAAAAAATTATTTATTATATTATCCAATAATTTTGTTGAAAATTTCGAATTAAACAAATTTAGTACGTCCAATAGCCACGATCACATCGTCAAAATTGACCCTCTGTTTGGCGCTTGGCATATAAAATATGACGATAATAATAATGATATATATTTGTATATATATATAAAGAACGATAATAATAATTTAATGAATGAAATATTAAATTTTGTTAATCGTGCGCAATCGACACGTCACTCACATTTTCTAGTACTTTTTTTTTTGTTAAATCTGTTTCATTAAATCTAACGAGAGTACCGATAGTAATTGCAGTTGTTTCATTTATAATATACCATTCCTAAAATACGATCAAATCACTGCCGCGAGCAGCAATTCCGAGGCACTACGAACAGGCCACAACGAATATGGCCGCACAATAATATCTCCCTCTCAATCTCCCTAAATAATAAGACTATAGAAGACCCTAATACATCATTAATATTCTCAACGTCCTTAATAATCTACCAGATAGATCAATGTAAATGTACAATAATCAGAGAGATCACACGGCTTAATATAGAAATTTAAAAGACTATGTCTAGCACGTAAAATTGTTCTTATGTATGATTTTAAATTCACCTCTGTGGGTAGTGGGTATTATCTCAACACTCCCTTAAGTATTGCCACGAAATGTACGAATGATAATATAATCTGATGAGCGGACACAATTGGTCCTCCAGTTGAGCCCAATCCCAACTACTACCTATCATTTTAACTTATCATTTTAACCCTACACTACATTGTTCTCAGCCTTCTTCCACGTTCCCTCCTCATTTCATTTTTTAAAATGATCCCTCCCACACCTACCTTATCTACTTATCAGCACCAATCTGATTCATTAAAAACCAATCAAAATATCGTATAGACTGGAATTACCTGTATAAATATACACTCAAATATCATAATAGTATACAAGAATTCATACCTTTCTTCGTACATCGTATCGTCAAATATGCTGTGACGTATTTATCATATTTTAATCTTCGTAGCACAGTGGGTGTCCGTCCGCCCTCTTCCATTATTTATTCTCAATATTTATCAATATTTTATTCCCCGTTAGCGATACCTATCCACCTCATTCACCCGCAACGTCACCACTCCCTCTCTCTCTCCCCTCACTCTCCAACAAATTTTTCATTAATAAATCCACCTCTTACATTATGTACAGACGTCCTCACCAGCATGTCTCATCCTCTTGCACTATTTATCCACATACTCAACTTGACTCAATTTTTCTCATCGAAATTTTGCTCTTTAAACATAGGCAAGTTAAATATTGTATCACAATCGTTTCAGTCTGGTCGAAATCGAACATTTTCAACCCGTTATTATATTTAATATATTTATACAGGGAAAGAAACGCGTCTGATAAAATTAAGGAAGCGCGATCGGCTAAATCATTGACACGAGTGAGAGTGAAACGGAAATAAATCCAAACATGAGAGAAAATAATATAGAAAACAAACAAACAATTCCCACTATTTCTCCCGTTAAAACCACGAAAAATAAAAAAATGCTGTATAAATGCACGAAAAAGTAATTCATGTCACGGGTAATGTTGCTGTGGCTGGGCCAGATGGGAATTACCCCCGGTACCGATGGCATTAGTACCAAAGCAACGCTGAAACTTGAGCGGTATTCCTGCTTGCTAATAGGCGGCAGGATGGACGGTTAGTCACTGGGGTGGTAATGCCGATGGTGTTTTAAATTCACCCGAAACAGTAACCCCATTAGTCTGACCAGGGAATTGCGACGACGATACTGGTGGTTGATGATTGAAAGCCGGTGCATAACACTGTGGAAAATACAGTTCAGGTTTAACAACAGTTGGTGTCAATCCCCTTGGTACTGGTACAGGACCAATTGATGATGATGCACCAGCGCCCTTGACATCGCTACTAGAATTCCTCCTGACTTTGCTAGCATGTGGATTCATGTGATTGTCAATGTGCTTCTTGACCTCAGGCTCAGTGGCAAATCGCCTGCGACAATTTGGCATTGGACAGCAGAATGGCCTGTCACCCTGGTGTGTCCTCGTGTGCTGATCGAGTATTGCTTTTTGCCGGAAATCCTTGCCACACTGCTGACACTTGTACGGCTTTTCCCCAGTGTGTATCCGTAAATGCTGATTAAGTATTGTTCTCTGTCGAAAATTACGTCCACAGTAGACACAGCCGTACGGCTTTTCATTGGTATGGATGCGCAAGTGTTGTGTTAGGTGTGACTGCTGTCGGAATCTCTTGCCACACTCTGGGCATGGATAGGGTCTTGATTCTATATGTATACAACCGTGCTGGAGTAACGTACTCTTCTGTTTAAATTCCTTTTGGCATATTGGACATCGTACGTAAAGTGGCATACCCGCTGATCTACCGTGCTGTATTACATCGGGTAAACATGATTTACCACCATTTGTACCATTACCACTACCACCACTGCTACCCTGCTGCTGTTTTATGTACTGTAATGCACCAAAACTGCTTGGACCACCTGTACCAAAGACAGCATGATTGCCACCCTTGGGGTCCTTGAAATAGGCGGGATATTGAATTGAGTTGCCATCGGGTGATGGACTAAATGCACCTGACTGTGTGTCATTGTCACCGAATGTCGAGGCGACTTCCTCTTTACCGTCTTCAGGGGGAAAGGGTACATCCTGTGGCCACAGGGTTGGTGTCATGCCATTCTTGAAGATCAGATGTGGACTCACATCTGCAATTACAATTATCGTATATTTTAGGGATTTTATTTAACACCGGGAGATCAAGGATCATCGTTATATCGACATTAGTATGGTTTTTTCTCTTTTTTATATATATATATTTTTTTTTTCTTGTATTTCATTTATCTTTGTGAGATATATACACAAGCAGTGTCAGCGCGGGTCACGTGCCTCCAGCAGACGTACAAAAATATTCAAATAATTATGGTATATGTGTGTAAATTAAGGTAATTGTCAATAAAAAGTAAATAAAGTAAAGAAAACACTTCCCATTTTAGCGCGAGCACAGAATCGAGAGGGGGCCACAACACAAACAGCCCTTTCGAGGTTTATAAGGCAACCCGGGATTTCAGTTTTTTTTTTTTTTTTAATACCTCATTTCTCGGGTGCGGGTGATTATTATCACGGGGATTACGTGAATGTACAGAATATGGTTGGTGATAGTACGAGATCTTGGGGTTTGTCGTAGGCCCCAGGGAGTGAAGCTTCAGGTGGGGATGAAGTCAGTAGTCAAGTGGTCGAGTTTTCATAATCATCAGTTTATCTCCGAAATTGAGGATTTGGGAATAAAATGCCGCAAGACGTTTTTCGGGGAAGTCTTTTGAGATTTCCTCGTAAAATCGATAGATTTCGGGGTAAATCGATGATTGAGGAAAATTGGAAGTTCGATTTTCGTACTTTTACCACTGGACTGCAGGAAGTAGTGTGAGCAACGCCAGAGATAAAATTCAATTTTGTTTTTCGTGTCAGATGAACCTTTGAGGTCCGACTTGAAGTGCTGGAGAGTAATAAGTCCAGATGGAGAATTTTCTCCGGGGATTTTTTTATTTTTCGATCAGATAAATCGATTCGTGCTCATACTACTTGAAAGGGAGAGGGCGAGGGGCCACTCGCTCCGTAATTAAGGGGGCACCACGACTTTAGGACACATTTCGCGTGATTACTAGATTAATTTCAATGATTTCGAGAAGCATTTGAAATAAAATATTTCATGCGAACTGAAGTCATTGAATTACAGTTGATCTAAAAGAAAAACTATCGATTCTAGAGGAAAAACTCAAGACCCATTTTCCCCCGGTAATTTAATAATCTACAAAAACCCTCTTGTAATCTTTCCCTCTAAAATCGATATTTTCCGAGATAAATCGATATCCAATAAAAGTTGAAATCGACTGATCCCACAGTACACCTATTCTTACAAAAATAAATTCAGGTACTCGATAGATTTACGTCACGATTACGGAATGGCCCCCCAGGGGATAACTCACAGGAACCCCTGAATACTATTATCGTCCTTAATCTTTGGTATATGCAAGTCTTTGTTAATAATCAAAGCAGATAGAGAATTAGATTGTCTGAGTATAATCTAAATGAAAGCATTTGTCAGCTCGTGGAGCCATGAGTCCCTTAAAACTAGGCTCCAGTTAAAATGAGTAGCAAGCAGATGAACCCCGTTGGCAACCCCCCGATTAAAGACCCTGTTCATTATAATTTATCTCAAACTCAAACGAAGGGTTCATCGGAAAGGTGTGGTGGGATGGGTGTGAGTGTCTGATGGCGTTGTGGGCCTCGTGGGATTGTCGGGAGGCAGAGAGAAATGCTCGCCTTGGTGTGTGCGGACGTGCTGATTCAGGATCGCCTTCTGACGGAAGTGTTTTCCGCACTCCGGACATTGGTATGGCTTCTCACCCGAGTGGATGCGCAGATGCTGATTGAGGATGGCGCGTTGTCGGAAGGTGCGCTCGCAGTAAACACAAGCAAACGGCTTCTCATTAGCGTGAATACGTAGATGCTGAGTAAGATGTGACTGTTGCCTGAATCTCTTTCCACACTCTGGACAACCATATGGTCGACTGTCAGTATGAATTCTCTCGTGTTGGAGTAACGTTGATTTTTGTTTAAAGTCTTTACCACACGTTAAACACTTGAACAATCTTAAATCACTATTAGCACCTTTCGATGATTTACCATTTTGCTGAACAATATCGGGCAATACATTAGCCATATTGGCGCCACCAGGGCTTGCATACTGATGAGCCTCGAGGCTTGTACCACCATCACCCTGACCGAGAGATGTCAGCATTACACCGGGTTGTTTCAAATAATGAAGTGCTGAGAATCCACCGGGTGTTAGCATGTGAGGTGGAACAGAGGGTGATGCGTGTGGTCTTGCATCCTTGAAATAATGCTGTGGATATTGTTGGAGATCACCAGTACCAGGAAAACAGTCACCTCTCTCAACCTCGTGAGGTGTAAGTTGTTGCTGTGGTGAGTGCTCCTGTTGGCCACTTCCCTGCTGCGACTGTGGACCACTCTGCTGCTGCTGCTGCTGCTGCTGACTCGCCTGCTGCTGTTGCTGTTGTTGTTGTTGCTGTTGCTGCTGCTGTTGCTGCTGTTGCTGGGCCTGCTGAGCTGCTACCTGTTGATGGGCTGCCTGCTGCTGAGCTGCTTGCTGTTGTGCCTGCTGCTGTGCACTTGTCTGGCCAGTGTTAATGTCATCCTCTGGTGGTGTCAGAGCCTGTTGATCAGTGGGACCTGATGGATAGGGCGATGGCACTGGTGATGCCATCGGTGGTGGTCCTGTTTCACCCTCGACTGGTGGACCACATGCCTGCTGTGGACTACCAGACGACGATGATGCCTGCTGCTGGGGCTGCGGTGCCTGTGGCTGCTGATTCTGGGGCTGCTGTTGACCATACAGACCACCGTCCTGGAGAGAACCCGGCCCCGGTGCCCACTGGCCCTGGGGTCTCTCCATATTGTCCTTGTACAGTACGTACGGCGCGCCAGTATCTGCAATTAAGAGGGAAACAGGGTCATTCACTTGCCCAGATTTATTTATTACTTTTGTATGTGTTTTTTTTTGGGGATTTATTTGGTTCACCGGGTGGATTCAGCAACGACTTAGAACCTCGGGATGATTAATTCAACTCATCAAAGGGCAGAGGTAACGAGGGGTAGCGAGGGGTAACGAGGTGAATTTTTCTCGAGAAATATCTCTAGAATTATTTTTCGTAACTCTAATTTTAATCCACAAAAAACGCTTCTCATTGAAATTTCAATATTCATCTTAAAATCGTTGGCATTAGTTTACCCGAATTTTCTTTCCGACGGGCCAGTGACATTTCACCATTCGCCAAAATATTCATCCCCTTATTTTTAACCCCTGAATAACCGAAAAAGGTCAGTCAATCTCATCCACCGGTAGAAGGTCGATGCAAATAGATTTCTACAGGAATAATAACGAGAATAGGCAATTAGCAGAATATGTTTATCGAGGGGCTGATGAGGGGATGAAAAATGGAAATACAGAAAACATTCGATGAATTATTAATCGTCCGTCAATCTTGCTATGACTGGATGATGAAAAATTGCAATAGAAGGATGCAGTACCAACGACAAAGTTCAACGAACGTAATAATTTTTCTTCGTCTCCCGTCATTCTCCCCTCCCATTTGAACATTTCCCTCTACCTCACCCACCCCCCCACCATCACCACCAGACCCCCCTCAACCGCCCCCTCCGTCTGTATCACGCATCTCAGATCTAAATATATAACTTAGAGGCGATATTCAGCGATGCCACATGGCGAATTAAACAAGGCAAAAGTTTCAAGCAAAAGACGTACCAAAATCCGTTCACAACGACTCCCTTTGTTTCACTCTCTCCGTCACACACGCAAGTATCATATCCATTCACACAATTAGCCAATCAATCAACAGGAAATGGCCATTGGGTATTGAAAAATAATCTCTGATAAACATAATATTACATTTTTTTGGCATTGTCATATCCAATTGTCATCAACGACAGGACACATCGTCAATGGCAACAACATTGTCTCCATCCTCCCAGCAATGTTTATCGATAGCACCCACGACGTACCCCCCCCAAAAAAAAAAAACAAGATCTCACAATTTATCACACACAGAATAAATATTGCTATCGTCCCAGCATTGATAATAAATCGGTACGCTCCTGATCTTGGCTGACCGCTGACCCACAATCTCACTCACTGAAAAACTGTCTGTAACCGAATCGAATTCTCGTTGGTAAGAAATAACAGCCAAAAAATGTTAAGAGAGAAAAAAAAAAAGTAACGATTGGCCGTCGGCGAATTAGCCGACAGTTGGCAAAGCAGTCGATAGTTCGCGTCGTACCTATTCCCCGTGCAATTGCCACATTTCAATAATTATTCAGTCAACAAAAAAAGAAGATTTAAAAAGTGAAAAAAAAAAAAAATCTACACCACTGACGCTCGCTCGATTGTGCTAAACGCCATGGCCACGTGCGTGTTTACCCCACACACAACCACAAACTCACGAGTCCATGCACTCATGGTGATTTTTCGTAGCCGTTGATTCCACCGAGTCCCAGGAACACTCCGGCCAAAAATAAAAGAATAAACGAATTATCACTTATCATTGGTGAAAATTGAGTGATCGTGGGGATAATTGATGTGTCAATTTTTCGGGATGCGGATTATTGGTTCGTTTTTTTTTTTCTTTTTTTCTTTTTTGGATAAAACACTGAGAGTGGCACGCGTTACTAACGTTCCCATCGGTGGCAATAAGGCGGGCCTATCGTTTCGCCGAGATCTGCGGGAATCGGCGAGGTGGCGTGCTGGGGCCAAAACGACGGGGGAAACCATTCACTTGGCGGGACAATTCGAATTAACTTACGCCGGTGAAAAAAAAGCGGTTGACCACCCCCAGGTACCCACTCCATCATCGTCATCATCATCATCATCCTCGTTTCATCATCACCTCATCATCACCTCATCATCATCTCATCATCCTCATCCCCGAATCAACGGTAAGAATAGAAAAAAACACACACACAATTGCACAAATGCTCAGCATCCAGTCTCCCGGTGTTTGTTTTTTGTTTTCCGTGTTTAATGTATCTTTTTTTTTAAAGTGCTGTTTTGTTTACATGGGAATACTCACCGGAATTGTAATATTCCTTAAAATAGCGTGTCGCAGCGCGCTGCACAATCGAATAATACAGGTTGACGTACGACGTTGACTGATTCTGTGCTGAGAGCGCCATTTACGCCGTGTGATTATTTCTCGGTGATCACGAAGTTGTTGTTAAACAACAGAAACACAGAACGATTAAAATAACGAGTCGAGTTGACAGCAGCAACTTGTTCCTGACCAACAACAATACATTAAAAATTCACTTGTTTCACACACTAAACTCTGGTCCCTTCATCAAACTGAATAATTTAAAAAGAAGAAAAAAAAAACAAATAAATGAAAATAACAACAAATATCGGGAATACACTCGTGTCTTCGCACGTCTCACGCGCGCGCGGTCTTTTCCCGTAAAAAAGACGAAGGACGGGTGGTTTAAAGGTGGGATGGGTGGGTGCTCATGGGAGAAAGGGGGGGAGGGATGGGGTGGTAGGGTGAGGGACCTGGGGGGGTGTCGGAGGAACGAAGGTGGCAGGCGGGAGAGTATAAAGGAGACGACGTTGGTTACCGACGTACGACGATCAACGACGTCGGCCAACGACGGCACCGTATCTACAGCAGAACTCCGTTCATCAAATTCGTCGGAAGGTGTGTGTGTGTTTTTTTTTTTTCTTTTTTTTTTTAATTGAAATAATTGATGATTTTGAAGAAACTGATGAATAATTAATCCCCCGGTTGTTGTTGTTGAAAACTGAGTGTCCCCTACGATATCCGCGATACGCCTTGCCACGGCATGCCGTTAACTGTTAAAAACTTCGCGAACTCTTTATTCACCAGGTCTTTTGGGTATCCGCGCCGGTAGACAAACTCGGTAGACTCGGCTGGCCCCCCGAGTAACTTGCCAAGACCGAGACGCTCGACGGGGCGGCGTTGCCGCACTTCCGTCGCGGGGAATTGGCACCGGTAGTGGGGGGTGTAAACTCCTCTTGGATTGGGGTATAGGGGGGTACGACGGGTACGCGGGTAGAAGGCAATACGCGGGATCGGGTGGGAGCCGCGGGGGGGTGGCGGGGGGGAGGGGACTGCCTTGATTTTGCTGTGGCACCGTAGCGTTGTCGACGCTACTGCCTCCGTCGATGCTTTCCTGCTGGTGGTATACTGCCGCCATTCGAGTCTGACGATTATACCCAAGGGGGAAAGGGGGGGATTGCCAGTGCCCGAGTGAGTGCAGGAGTTTGATGGAAAAAAACTGATGTTGGGGAAAAAAAAAAAAATGAGAGAGACATTTGGAGGAGTGGATGAGTGCGAGAGGGTGAGCTGCGTGGTCTAGGCCCTCCGCGACCCACCGCGGACCTCTCCGTCGAGGGGAGGGAGGTGGAAGGAGGTTTCGATAGTAGGTGGGATGAAGGGGAAAGAAATGCTGGTAAAAAAGAGTGGTAAAGAGGAGGGAGAGGAGGAAAGTTGTTGGTTGGACGCGATGGAAGGGATTCGATGGGTTGGCAAGGGCTCGGTGAGAAGGGGGAGCGAGGAGGGAGGGTGGGTGGGTGGTATGAAGAGGGATGAGGGGGGTTTGGAGGGTTCAGGGTGGGATGTGAGTCGCTGGAGGACCCACGGCGCATTGCCGAGACGCGAGAGGCGAAGTGGCCTGAAGCAGTCGGAGGAGAGCTCTGTGCACCACTCTCCCAATCAGTCTCGCAATCCCTCTCTCTTTCTCCTCGGATGAGGGGTGCGAGAGAGGAGGTGACGGGGAGGGTTTTCCCAGTCGACGGCGTGGCCCCCTCGATGCGCGTTGCGCTCATGCATCGCCGGCATATCTTGCCCTCTCTGTTCTCGCGTTTTTTTTTTCTTTCCTTTTTTTTTTTTTTTTTCGCTATGCGGCCCGATTCCCTACCTCTACGGAGGTAGTCACATGGTACGCTCGTGCCACGAGTACGAAGCCTCTCCCAAATCAATATCACTCGTGTAAAAAAAAAAAATTCAGCGAGGAGAGATAAAAGGAAAAAAAGAGGATAAAAAAAAAATATATATACATAGGATAGGTAAAAGAACGTACCTGTAATCGCTGGTACCTCCAATGGCCCCATCCAAAAAACGTATTGCTCTGTCTCCTCTCATCGAGATACAAGTATTTTTATTCAATTCTCCATTTCACTGAATCAGGTTCTACCGAGTGTTTTCACGATGACTCGGGGCTTTATGATACCGAGTGGACGATAAAATTTATGAGATTTAATGGCCGAGGTTGGGGCAGGTTAGTTACAAAACTACTTGGTCTTTTCCGTTGAATCGGTGATCCTCCCCTGGCCCCGCGATCCCGCGATCCCACAATCCCGCGATTCCCCGATCCCGCGATTCCCCGATCCCGCGATTCCGCAATCCCGCGATCCCGCAATCCCGCGATTCCGCGATTCCGCGACCCCTCCACTCCCCCCCATCCCCCCTCGGCCTCCTGGCCCACCCTTCCTCGTAGCGCCCACGAGGCAAAAGGATCAAGGAAGCCTGCTCTCCAATGTTTCCCGCCAGTTTCCTCGGACAACTTTCAACACACTCACTGACTGTATAAAACGCACACCTCCAACACAGTTTCGCGCACGTTCAAGTACATGGCACGAATCATTCTCATCACCACTCGTGCCAATACACTGATACAACCTACCCCACCCCACGCACGAGTTACTTCGTCAAGCACATCAGAGGGTATTCCCTCTCTGTTGTTAGTTAAGTATATGGGGTAATTTGCCCTCTCTCGTGGATTCTCGATTTATCCGTTCATCTCGCTCTCGCAAACTTCGCATCAAGGCCCCTGAGATCACTCTGTAGCAAATACAGTGTATACACATTGCGTGAATGGCGATGGGTTGTTGCGACCTTGCGGCAAGGTGGATATTATATTTTTTTTTTTCTTTTTTTTTTTCTCATTTAAACCGATGAGTCTAGTCTTGACGGGGATGCACCTGAATTTTTCTCTGGTTATGAAATTCTTGTGGATTCCTCCATCAACGGCTCTGGGGCCTTTCACCTCCATTTTTGGGCCCTTCAGGTGTTTTCGGGGGATAATTTTCACAATCACTCATTTATCGGGGATTCTGGAAAATTTTCCGGGGGAATCAATCAATTTTTCATGCTCCATGGACATCGGGGATTTTCCTGTTCGTACTGATATTTTGTTTAATCTACTGAAAATTCAATTACATTTAATGGTTATTTAATTTTCATGATAAGTCAACGTGAAAAATGGAATTTTATTGGGTATTGTGGGGGTGGAGAATTTTTTTTCTGAAGCATTTGATATCGAATTGAATTGAGGGCAAATCCAATAGAGTATTTATGGAGGAATTAATTAATTTCCGGTGCGTTCAATCGAGTTTCTATTGCTAATTTTTTCTCATGCGGCATGATCGAGGTGAATGCATGATAAATTAAAGGTACAGTCTCGATAAATCTCGACGTCCAGGTGATAAAAGTGAAAAAAGCCCCTGCATGATCAGTCTCGGTACAAAAGGCGCCAATAACCTTGACAAGTTATTGGCGAATGAACTTGGGGGAATACGACGGCGAAGTGTCGCCTAGACCTCGGCCAACAAGAGAAAGAGAGGGGCGTAAAAGCCAAGTGAGGTCGTGAGCAAAGTGAGAGGCTGAACTGGCCGTTTCAGAATTATAGTGCCGCTATATATCCCGACCATTTGCGATACAACAACTTCAGTCTACCACCGGCCCCAAACAGAAAACTTTTCCCGTAAACCCTAAGCCACCCCCAAAACCCCCCAAAAAATTTCCACCCCTAAATTTACGCAGCATGTCCTCATCAGAATCCAAACCCCATTTTCCCCCCATCGCCAATTCCATCCGGTACCCCAAAGTGAACAAGACATTTGTCACCCGAAAAAAATATTAAGACACCTTGCTATTTCAACTTTCTTCCACCCAAATTTTTACCAGAATTTTTGCACAGCGCAGCTGCAAGTGCTGGGCACTGATAGGATGGACGCCTGCAACCCGGGGTGTAATGGCCTAAACCTAAAATCGATACACTAGCGAAGAAAAACGTCGGCGGATGCCCCGGGAGATAAATGGCCGCTCATTGGAAACCCTTCTACCTACCCCCCTCGCGAGCCCCCTCACTCTTTTTCTCCACCGTCGACGCCC